CTCCTCATCCGGGCAAAGACTCCTTTTTTATTTGTGTGGAGATCTCACTTTCCCGCGACTTTGTTTTACCCCAGGAAAAAGGGGTTTTCGACTTTTGTGTCCTACTTAAATTGGGTTTTTTTTCAGATGGGGGGATCAAGTTGGATCCACCTTATGCTTAAAAATGTCACTGAATATGACAAGGTAACCAAAAACAAGGGCCCATAGGAAAATTCCCCCAGAAGGGTAAAAATTCCTCTTGTTTTAACCATTTCCTAAATGCATAATGTTTTTCTTTTAAAAAAAAATCCCGATTCAGCTTTTTTTTAAATTTTTGGGGAAAGCTTCAATTGATAGAAAGAACCACCCCCGAATTTTTTAAAATTTTAATCTGTCGGGCCCCAAAAGAAAAGGGGGAATTGAGGTTCCTGATCAGTATGCGGCAAAAATTGACTAAAACCTGCATCCCACCATTAAACATCATTCAAACATTGCCGGGGTAAAAGGAAAAAAAAAATTTTAAATGGTTTTTTGGGAGGGTTTAAAAACAGCTATAGAAACTAAAAATTGGGAACTGAAAATTGCATGTGCAACAAAAACCCCTTTCATTTTTTATAGGGAACCCGGGGCCCCAAATTACACTTGGGGGGATACGGGGTTTTGATTGCATGCAGAGTTTTAACACTGGGCGAATCCCTTTTAAATTGTATTTGTTTTGCCACAATAAATCCCCTTTTAATAACTATCCCTCAAAGGGGAACTTTTTTTCCCGGATAAGGGTAGGTTTAAAAATTTTTCTGTTTTTTTTTCACTCATCTTGGACCCTGTTTTAAATTTTTGGACAGTTTCCCTATGTTTTGGTGTATTTGTTATTTTGATAAAACCCAAATGGGGAATTTGGGGCCAGAGCTGATTTTTAATTTTTTTTGTGGGGGTGAAGTTTTAATTGTGCAATTTCCCCCTCCAAAGACTTGGTCGGAGTATGTGTTTATACCGCCTGCACCCCCGTTTATGGTTTTTAGGAAAAGGATTTGACCCTGAGGCCCGGGCCAGGTTTTCCCAATTTAACGGACAAAAGAGAAAAAGCGACGGGTTTGCTAAAAACACATTTGGAACGGGCTTTGATTTGATTTACTAATTCCCTACTTATATCGATAAATGGGTGGCCGAGGGGGGTTCCGGATCAAAAAAATTTGGGCGGATAAAATTGCAGCGGGTTTTTTAAAGGAATTTCCCTTTGTGGAAACCCAGCTTTTTTTCCTATCCCCCCCAATAAAAATGTTAAATAGGATTAATTATTCCTTTATAATCTTTTTAGGTTTACAAATCTGACCGGGGAAAGCTTTGGGGGTTTTAAAGGGACCAGTTAGCCCCACTTTTTTAAAAATGAAAATTCAAAATCGGTTTGGGGGGGACATCCCTTTTGGGCTAAAAAAAGGGGGGTCGGCTTTAGTTCCAAGACAGTTTCGGGTACTTAAAACCTAATAATATACCCCTGAGGGATCTGTCACAGACTTTAAAAAGGGTTGAGAATTTTGAGAAAAACTATGCAAAAAATTTTCGGGTAAAAATGGGTTTTTTGGACAGGGTTTTCCCTACTATGTTTGGTAAATGGGGGGGGAAACGTAAATTCACGCTATTTCTTGGCTACTTTTTGGTAGCCATAGGGGCCCACCTGTGGATGTGTTTTTGTTACCGTGACTTCCCGGGGTCGTTACATTAGGCTTTTACATTTAAAATTGAGAAGGAAGCAGGGCCCCCTTGCGCCTCCTCTCCCAAATAAAGATTTTTTTTTTTCCGGGGTTTGCTGCGGGTTTGAGGGGGGTAAAACCCGGGTAGTTTCTTTTAAAAAACGGGGACTGTTATAAAATTTAGATAAGGTTTTATTTTTTAAAGTAACTAAATATTTGTTTTTGGTTCCCTCTATTAAAGGTTTAATAAATTTAGTTTTTGTGGGGTTTCGGGTTTTCTCAGACCTCAAAACGGGGACTGTTAAAGAAAAAGGGATTATTTTATTTTTTAAAATTTTTTAATCTTATGGCTGTTTTAAAAGGAAAGGTTTAACACTTTTCATTTTGACCCAATTTTCTAAAATTTTTAAAAATGCTGTTTAATTTTTTAAAAACTACAAAGGGGTAATTTTTCAAACACAGGAGGCCAAAAAAGGGGTATCTCCGGGGGGTAAAAAAACATTTGAGCCTCGGGGAGGGGTCCCCTTTGGGTTTTTACAGAAACAAAGGGGTCTTCCAAAAATAAAACATCTGAATGTTTGTGATATTTGAAAAAAAATGAAAAATTTTTAAAAAAAAATTAACTTTTATTTTTTTAAACTTTTTTCTAAGTATTAATTTTTTTTTTTTTCCCTAATTGAAAGTGTACTATCGGGGGAAAACCCGAATAAAATTTGGGAAATTTGATTGAATGAAAATGTTTTTTTTACTATTAAAAATTTGGCCCCAGGATAAGGTTTTAAGGAAAAAAATTTTAATGTTATATTGAAAAAAAAAGTTTTATATGGAGAAAAAGGAATTTTTAATCTTATTTCTTTTGATTCTTTTTGGTTTTTAAGGCAAAATTCAATTTTTTGGGGGAAAAGGTGCAAAAACAAGATTACTTTGGGAAGATAATTTTTTCCCGAAACCCCAAAATACTAAAAATTTAAGTTTGTTCTTAAAATTTTAGGGGCGGGGAAAAGGGCCCTAAAAACATTCCACATCAAATTCTGTTAAATTTTATCTCATGACACCCCAATAAACCTTAAAATCTAGTGGGGGGGGCCCGCCAAAATTTAAAGTTTTTTTTGGTGTCCAAATATTTAAAAAATTGGTCAACCCGGGGAAACCCCTTTATACAAAAGGGGAAAGGGCCCTTAAATTCACTTTTAAAAAAATTTTGGAGCAACGGGGGAAAAAATTTTCAGATAGCCCCAAATTTTTTTTAGGCTTTTGCACCAGCTCCCCCTCCAAAACGCGTTTTTGGGGCCCCCTTTTTTCCCAATTTTTCTCAAACCTCGGGTTAACTGAATGTAGGGTTTTCGTTGTTCTGCATTTTTTGTTTTTAAATTTAAATAAGCTGTTTTTTGTTGGATTAAATTCTGTGATTCTGTGACGTTCGCATATCTTGCTGGTTTTCCTTGGGGGCCACACGCAGCTCGCTGAGCGCACCTGGGAGAGGAAGAGAAACACCCAACCTTTTTCCAAAGTTAACTATTTAGAATATTTTCTTCCTTAACAAAACAATATATAATATATATATTATTATATATATAACAAATAAAAAATGTAATTCAAAGAACAGTATTAAATGTTTTTATATGTGTTCACAAAAACTGGTTTTGACAAGTTCCAACAGCAGGTCTTCTCCCATAATATTCTTTGCCCACTTTGTCAGTTTAGAGGAATAGCCATAGCTATTCCTGGAAAGGTTCAATGTTGCCATATTTTTAAACTATATTATTTTAAGGCAAATCCCAGCAGTCATGGAAAGGGTAAAACACAACAATGTTCTCTGTCTGCAGGGACAATACATTCTCTCTGGAAAGATGGTACATTCCATATTTATCTAGTCATGAGCCTCATCATCAGCAAAATCCAGAAACTTAAAATAAATCAGCTAAAAAAAAATGGTTAAAAAAAATTTAAAAGTAATATGAAGTCATCAAGACAGACTACAGTTACATTGAGTTTCATACTTTTTAGGAGTTTAAAATTATTTGTGTAAAAAAACTTTAACTTAAGACGGTTCTTACACCCCTTTATACAGCGTCCATTCCTCTTTAGAAGGTGCGAATTGTAATTTGACAGTAACTGAGCTAAACAGAATAGCTTACAAAATTTGACATGATCAGATCAGCAATTAAAAATTGTTGTTTAATAAGTACAATAGCAGCCTTTCAAAGTGGCCCTTCCCAGTCAAACGCCAGCCGAAGGGCAGCCCATTTCCATCCAACTCCCAGCAAAATCCACTCCAACTTCCAGCCACTGGGGTGACCCCACTTGCATGTTTTTTTACTCTGACTCCACCCTTTCACTGAATTATAGGGTCTGACCAGGAGATGACACTTCTCCTTAGATTTTAATGTCCACAAATCATGACAGAAAGAAATTGTTTGTACAAATATTGATGTTTAAAAAGGAATTGTAAGAGACCAGCCAAGGGCCCATCAAGGAAAGTGGGGAGATTTTGAATGGCTACAACTATAAGGGTCTTATGAATAGTATCCGAATGTGCTTGAATTTTGTTCTGGAGAAGAGCATCACTGTTCTAATTTACTTAACATGAACGTATATTTTGGTGAATATTTACTGAGCTTATTTGATTTCATTTTGTCATAATTACATTCGAAACCTTGTGTTACATTATAATTCTTATGTAATCATTAACCCAGTCATTTTAAATTAAATAGGGCTACAAACGTCTTTGTTCAATATGATGAAATATTGAAATCTGTCCCTGCAAAAACAAACAAATCACTAAAATTAAATTAGAATAAAGTTAAATGACATTTCCCACTAAGATGGAGTCTTTCAGAATATATGTCCAAACCATAGTATACCGGTAGTTATCTGAATAAATTAATTCATACTAAATGCTAAAGCAGTTTAGAAAGAATGGAGGGAGGAACATTTGGATTCATGGCAACTGATCTTATCACTATATTTAAATGTTGTTTTATGACTTTACGGCTTTTTCATGTCATGCAGCTTGAAAGGCTAAGTAAGGCAACTGGACGTGAAGTTTTCTGCGACAAACTGAAGAAGTCTCTGGGATGAGAGGCAAAACGTCTTCTAGAAGTTTATGTCCAGTTGCCTAAACTTAATTTTTTAAGCTGGACCATGACCTGGATGACTGAGAATCTTCACAGACATGTCATCAAGCCTCATATTTTACTTTTATATGCAATTTTACAGATAGAGGTTCTCCTAATTTTTTTCAAAAAAAGTGATCAGGGTATGTTATACAGAGGCTGTAACATAAAATATGTATGCAAGAACTTCATTGACTCATAAACATCAGCTTACCAAAAAGAGAAATCCTGTGTCTAACAAGAGCTGCCAGTTTGCAAAACAAGCTTGAGCATAAAGAGCAGAAACAGGGAGAACATCAGAAAGTTACAGTGAGGGACATAACAAAGCGGTTCAAATTTCAGACAAAAACCAAGGAATGAGAAACACTAAAATGCAGAGTTTGCTTCCTTAAATAAGTTTTTACCTGGCAACCATTTCCTTCTCTTTGTTAGAGGCATAACCACTGCTACTTAGATTCTTGCTTGGAGAGGAGAGGAAATACAGAGAGTGGTTTTTGAAGTACTGATCGATGAGTGGGAGAAGAACCTGGAGAAGACCAAGAATCACTCGACTCACTCGACTCACTCCGTAAAAATAAACTCTAGCGATATATATTCAACATAGCTTTAGATATAAGTTACATTTATATTTAAAATGTTAAATTTCCTTACTTTGGCAAAAAACTTGATTTCTTGTTCATGAGGCGATCGGTCTGTTTTTCCACTAGCAGCCATTGCCTCTGAATGAAGAAAATCAGTTTTACTTTAAACAACAAGAATTCAGTAAATGTTTTAATGCCATGTTACAGTATCATACCTAAGTGGGCAATGAAGTCCTGGGCTGAATCAACATACTTTAGTAGCTTCTTGAGGAACTTATAGGAAAACCTTTTTTCCATTGAAGAAGAATCCTGCTCCAAGTCTTTCAACCCTCTGCAACATAATACACTGTCTGAAGCTTATCATTCGTATGCAACAATATTACTTTTATAGTCACAGCATACTGACCTTGTGATGCTGTAGCCATTGATTTGCAGGAAGCGAAAAATGTCCAGGGCCTTCTCTCGATCGCGGGCCTTCTCCTTGGCTGTTAGGGTGTCATAAGGCACCAGGAGAGGATGAGTTCCTCCACCTAAAACAGAAATCAGAGTATCTTACTGTAATTTGTGAAGAATATTGAAGCATTCAAACAAGAAATAGATGAAAAAGACACAATTTACAACCATAAGGGTCCTTTTAATATCACAGTAGTCATACATAAACAAATTTTCCCTCTCTGTTTGGCTGGTGTCTTTGTGCAGTTTGCGTTCATAATGCAATTCATTAATTATTCACCTCTGCTTCCAAGGTCACTTTTCTTCTTCTTGGCCCAGATGTTATGGTAATTCTCTGCCATTACTTCAACCATCCCCTTAGAGCAAAGACACAAGGAGATAAAGCCAGTGAAAAACCCTTTTCCCACCCACAAACTCATTCGCATTCAGGACAGACGGCTTTGATCTCTTGTGCATCTGTGGGCTCATTTGATTCAAAATGAAAAGAAATAGAATATTCAAAAGCTAATGGGGAGTTTCTTACCTGCAATTCTCTTGACAAAATCACATTGCTTGTGTCTGTTGGGCTGGGATTAAAGCCATTAGCCTGGAAACACATGCGGGTTTAGAGTGACATTTTGGTAAGACGAGTTAAATACATTTCACAAAGAAGTACTTATTGATTTATTAGTTACTAGGGAAGAAAATCAACACAGAGAGTGGTCTTCATAGAAACCAACCCGTGCGCTGAGAATATGGGCATTCTAAAAGAGCTAAAACTATAGACTCATGTATTCGAAAATTCAAGATGAGAATACTATTAGATAAATAGTAGACACTAGTAAAACAATTATTTATTCATAGCACATTCTGTGTGTTGTGTTGCTGATTAAGTTCAAACAGTCTGGTCTTGTAAGTGTTTTCTAGCACTTTGATAAAGTATTCATATCATGTGTAACTCTTCGCATTGGATTTTGTATTTATTTAGGATTTTTTTTTAAATCCTAAATATGGCATGACAGAAGTGGAGAGAAGAAATTACATTGTATGTTTTTAAAATCAGTTCTTGTACTGTATCTACAGTTGGGCTGTTTTGGTCTTTTTATAAGTCTTTTTCAGTATTGTACATCTAAAATCTTACATTTTTCTTCTTTGCAAAGTAGCTTAAATTCAATTGGTTTGGGTGGAGAACTTCTATGAACATTAGTATTCAAGGTTTACCAAAAAAATTGGAACTTAATTGAATCAGAACTTTTATTGGACTATCATGACACATGAATGGGAGAAAAGCCTATCACTGAAGCTATAACTGTTTATATCTTTGATGGGGAAAAGTGATCAGCAGTATAAGTCCCCAGATCGTAGACAGGACCCTAACCTTTTTTATTTATTTATCTATTTTCAGGATTACTCTTTATTTACCTTTATCCAGCTTCAATAATTGAACTGAGCTTAGACAGATGTCAAATGTTTTGGATATTGTTTTATAACCTAACTCTTTTTTTTTTATTTCTTCATAATTTTCTCCATGATCTGTCTGCCCTGTTTCTTTCTCTTTTTGATGCCATTTCACCACCTATATTCTTGAAGAAAACTCTGAGCTTTTCACAGAGAACCTATACTGACTATAAATTATTCTCACCTAGACTACATTTACCAAATATGTAATGTTTGCACACAATTAGTCACACAAATCTTTTGTCAGAAATATTATTGTAGATAGTGCTTAATGTAGAAAGGTAGATTGAATTGTTCTAACCTCTCATTTATTGAAAGAAATACCTAAAATTGTCAGAAAAATATCAAAATCTGACACAAGTAGAAATTAATACAAGTTCAATGAGATTGATCAAATGAAAGTCAGACATTGTTTTTCCAATCACGCTTCAACAGAATCATTTTTGAAATAATAAAATAAATTAAAAAGGTCTGGACAAAAATGATGGTACCAGTAGAAAATAATGTAACCAAAATGAGATTTTAAATCAAGGCGTGTCCACTAATTAGCATCAAATCTTTCTAGCATCTTTTAATCAGTCAGTGGTCCTACATATAGGGCTGCAGGTAGGGACTGTGCTGTTTGGTGGCATGGTGTGTTAACAATCATCATGGGCCATTAGAAGCAAAGGAAAAAATTATCTCAGGGGATTAGAAAGAAAATTCTAGACAAGCATAAGATCATCTCCAAGCAGCCTGAGGTTCCTGTAACTACAGGTGCACATATTTTTCAGAAATGTGAGATCCATTGGACCATAGCCAACCTCTCTGGACATCGCTGCAAGAGGAAAATTGATAACCAAAGAGACAGATAATATGAATGGTAATAAATGAGCCAAGAAAAACTTCTAAAGAGATTCAAGGTGAATATCAAACTCAAGGAGTATCCATGTCAAATCGCACCATACATCGTTTTTTAACCAAAGTGGACTAGAGACTTTTTAAGAGTTAAACTGAATTTATTGTCATTTTGTACACACAGAGTGTATACAAAAATAAATTTTGTTCAGTACATCTCTCAAGACATCTCCAGACTTAATGAGAGAGGAGAATAAGGAGGGCATCATTGTTAAAAGCTATCAAAAAATAAAAACCGCCAGGGTGGAATTTGCCAAACTACATGTTAGGATAGAATAGAATAGAATAGAATAGAATAGAATAGAATAGAATAGAATAGAATAGAATAGAATAGAATAGAATAGAATAGAATAGAATAGAATAGAATAGAATAGAATAGAATAGAAGATCCATTTATTGTCCAACAATGGGGAAATTCTGGTGTTTACAGCAGCAAAAAGATTATAGAAAAAATGGTCACACAAATATGGACTTAATAGTGAAGAGTTAAATGATAAACAATAAAATACTGTACTGTAAAGTGTTTTAACAGTGTAAAAACTATGCACCTGGAGAATAAATAACCAATATACAGCTATGGACGATTTTGCACTAATGGATATTTGAAAATATTGTATGTTTATAAACAGCATAGCTTTTGGGAGAATGTCCTATGGATAGATAAGACAAAAATTGAACTTTAAGTTAAGGCACATCAGCTCTACGTTTAAAGCTGGAAAAATGAAGCATTTCAAGAAATTATATTTACTTCATGTTCATCTATAATTCAAAATCCTAATAAATATAATATTGGTATTTATCACTAGAGAAATGGTAATGGACACTGTTGACGGGTTAAATATTCTATGTTTGATAGCACACAAGTCTTTAGGTTTGTTTCCACCACATCATCAAAGTTTGTGTGGTACTTTATGATTGGTAACAGAAGAACTAACTTTGATTCACCAATGAAATGCAAGTGAGCACAGATGCTAATAAATATTTGAAGACACATTGTTATTTTTCAATTCTAATGTCACACAGGAGAAGGCCAGAAACAAAATAAATAAATAACTGTACCTGAGAAGCTTGAGATATTTTCCTCATCCTCTCATTTTCCCTTTGCAGAGACATGCATTCTCCATCCTTTGTCCTGTCAATGCTCCAGCCCATGGCCAGCATGCTTTTCAGAGAGTCCCTAATAGGCAATCTGTAAATCTCCTTTTCCTATAATAGAATTAAAGACATTAAAAACAGAGTACCAACAATTAGGCAACCGTGTTTATTTATCTGTGTTACACTGTCTTTTGTTACCTTTTCTGTTAGGGCTTTGTAGGTCCTTAACTGAGGATGTGTTTTTCCTTTTTCATCCACACAGTCCCCATATTTCCAACCTAGCAACACCTGAGATACAAACAGAGACAAAAGCTGAAAAAGCTTTTGTTCACCAAGGGTGAACTCACACAATAGAGCCCCTTTAATCATCTTGTTTGGTCTGGACAAAGTAAACTTTTTTTTTTTTTTTGGTATATTTCTTTTTCATATTGAACTTTTGTAAATTTTCAAAGTTCTCTGTAGTTCTGTGTAAAAACTATTGTCTTCTGCTCACGTTTAGGTTTCTTAAAAGGATTTTCTGAGGGCATAATTTGACTGCAATATTCATTAATTTAATTTTCCTTGTAATGATTTTATTTTAGCATTGATCCTACTTTGACTAAAATTCAATCCATTCAACCAAATGTTTCCAATTTACTCACATTCAAATTTCTTAATTCTGCATTACCTTTTCTGCAGACCATTTCTCATGGCAATGCTCTGCATATTTGTTGGTGAAATGTTCAAGCTTTTCTGGTAAGACAATGCTAGAAGAAGAGGATGACAATTACTGTAATTGTACAAGCTGATGCATGGTAGCAAACTTATTAACATGCCATTAATCAATATATCTACTCAGAATAATGCACTTTTTCTAATTGATTTCAGACTCTATAATGACTTACTTAGCAGTGTTGATTGGTTTGGGGTCAAAGTTTCCCTGATCATCCAAAGAAACAGGCTTTTCAACAGCTGCACTAAAGGAGGCATCCACATAGTCTGGTGGCAGAGCTCCAGCTATAGCACTGAGACAGGGCATGGCCATCTTAAATAACTCTGGGTCATATTTCTGCAACAGGAAAGAAAAAAAAAGAAAAAAATATTAATGAAATTCTGTTTAAAAACGTAACAGAAAGGGCTATACTCAACAAATCAAGTAATGTGCTTTACATTTAATTAAAGCTGGTGCACCAGAGAATTATTCTAAAGCCTAAGGAACCAGCACACTTGAAGACATGGATCAATGATGAGCTGCACAGATATTGATGTTTTTTAGCCCCAGTCTTTGCACAGCATGTTTCCGTGGTGAGGATTTAGAGAATTGTGCTGACACTGGATATCTGCATTGCTAACAAGTCTAAAACAGTTCCTTGCATACATACAAGTTAATAAACAAACCAATGAGTCCAATGTTATTTTAACTGAGGGGCAGTTTTCTGATCTACTTTGAATAAACAATTTCAATGATAAATAACATAACAGAGCGCAATGTGGTGAGAAAATGAGCATCCTTATAAAAACAACCTTAAATATGACAGAGAACCTAAAATAAAACTACAAAATCTTAAAGTATTGAAAAAAGATGCTAAAAAGATAAACATTTGTTGTAGACATAAGCGTCCTTTGAATAGAATAAGCACATGGAAGTGTAACAAGAAGTATTTACATAAAGTAATACTGTGCCAGAACAATCAATAAAACAAGACAGGATTAATGCTTAAAAACATGAACAAAAACCCTAAAATTAACACGCTGAACCGAGAGCCACAACAAGCACCTGCGCCGCTATCTTGACTTTTATCTTGAGTCAATGAAGCGATGTAATCAACCGGCTTTCCTTAGATAGAAAACTTTGGATCAGTTTGACTGTATGATGTGGTTGAATTGTCTCTGTAAAGTGCCTTGAGATGTGTTGTGAATTGACGCTATATAAATAAGCTGAATTGAATTTAATTGAATGAATTTTGACACCCATCCATCCATCCATTATCTGACACGCTTGTCCCGAGCAGGGGTCGCGAGCGGTGCTGGTGCCTATCTCCAGCAATCAATGGGCAAGAGGCGGTGTACACCCTGGACAGGTCACCAGTCCATCGCAGGATAACACAGAGACACACGGGACAAACAACCATTCACACACACACTCACACCTAAGGACAATTTAGAGAAGCCAATTAACCCAACAGTCATGTTTTGGGCTGTGGGAGGAAGCCAGAGTACCCGGAGAGAACCCATGCTCAGGGAGAACATGCAATCTCCATGCAGGAAGACCCTGGGCCGGGAATTGAACCCAGAACCATTTTGCTGCAAGGCAGCAATTTTACCCACTGCATCACTGAGCAGTAATTTTGACACCTCTTTATAAAAATCATGTCAGTGGTATTTATACTGGAACAAAGACTAAAGCTAATTAGCTTCACCAGTCCTAAGGGGTTCATGTTGACACAACTTTTATTCCTGCCACATTTAGATAGGGATTTATTTTAACCCAGTATACCATCAGACAATTCAAAACAGGAATCATATATGATCATGCATGAATAATTCCTGCTTAAAGTAATGAAAGATGTGACTCAAGAACATCTTACCCTCTGAGACAAAGAATCAAATACCCCCCAGAAGATCCTCTTGGTGAGCAGAAGTTCATCTTCAGATGCTGTGCCGAAACTGCCCCAACCCGAGGGGAGGCAGTAGTACTTCCAGTTCTGCTCATAGTGGTTGGTAAGAAGCTGGATCCAAGAAATAAAGAGTGGGACACTTATTATACCAAACAGATTTTATAGACCAAGTTAGCAAAAAAGTGTCTTTAAATTTAAAGGCCAACTGTTACATTTTTTTTTTTTTTTTTTTTGCAATGTGCTGATTAATGAAGAGGGGACACATGGTCAACAGGCATATGATCACAAAGCACAACGTTTAATCTTTTTTTTCCTTCTAAGACTCTTATCTCCAGATTTTGAACACTATACATGTTTTACCACTTCTACCATTTCTCCAAGTTGAAGTAGGGAAAATAAATTGGCAACCTGTTGTTTTATTACATTGAAGATACATTGTTTGTTTATCGTGTGACCATGAGAAAATTACAGAGAAATAACAGAAATTAGAATCTGTAGGAAGTGTGAAAATAGAAAGATTAAACACAAAAAAAAAATGTTATAAATAAATTGAAGCTAACCCTTAGAGGCATCTTGCAGTATTCAGTTAGCAAGGGCACATCAAAGACAAGACGGTGCAGGAGCTGCTGCAACATGGAGGGACGAAGGTACCTGCACAGTGGGGTTAGACAGAGATAATGCTTTTGCATTGAGCGTGTTTAAATTCGGATCCAATTTAATCATACTAACATAAAACAATGTCAACAATTTTAAATTAAATCTAGCTGAAGGTTATTGTATAATTTCCCTTGACAGTCAAAACAAATATCCATTTCATTTCCAGCTGCAAAAGGTTTTGTTACATGGCAGGGAAAACTTTTAACATTTTCCAAAGTTTTTACTTGCAAATAGAGAGCAAGCACTCTTCTATGGCATCCCTCTGTGCCTTGGTCAGTGAGCGGCCCTTTGATAGCCGGTAGATAGTGTGAAGAGTGGAGTCAATAAGGGTTGCATAGTGCTCGGTTCCAGCAAAGAGAGGTGCACAGCGGGTAAGAAGGGGCAGCATGGCTGAGCCGATGTAGCGATTCATAGCCAAGGCGGTCTCAGTGGTACACAGAACCTCCTGAAGAGAGAAAATGTTATTGAAAAACACATCTGTCAGTCTCCCCAAAGATACTTTATGTTAGCATCATTAAGTACTTTGTTTTGTATCCCACACCACTGTCAACTCTAATTACCGTATCCAGAGTGGTGGCTGCCCTCAGGTCGGGGAGGAAGCCAACTTCGAGCAGATGGAGCAGAAAACTTTGGTCCTCAATGCCGTAGACCCTGTCTAAAAACAGCACCATAGGGGCTTTGTGGTCCGGACAGAAACTTGCAGACATGTCAGGTTCAGTCATTGATCCATCTAAGAAAAATAAAAAAAGCAGTTACATTTTTAAGCAGCTTGTTCTACACATGTATGAAATAGTAGACTGGACAGGAAAACATATACAGTACATAATTGCAAGTCTTTTCTCTTTAAGAGAGCAATGTTTCTTCATTATTTTATTGTACTTGTCCAGCAGCCTGCTGTTTTCTTTTTTCCTTTGACCATGTGCTGACCGGTATAACAGTAGTCAAAGCAGCAAATTTAGAGACCAATATTTTTATGCTTAATGCAAGGCCATCAATAGAGTAGGACAGCTTGCCATGGGAAATAGCTGATTTACTCTGATTTACGAACTAAGACATGTAAGTTAGAATACTGAAGTAGGCACCTTTGTTGATAATGGGAGTTTTCAGGGGAATGCTGATAATTCCTACAAGGTCTTCGGTGGGGACTAGAGAACGCAGTATCGCACGAATGCGCAGGGCTTCACCTTTTCCCTTGTTTATGAGCTGAAGAAAGCAAATGAGATTAGACTAGATTAGAGACATAAGTCAGCAAGAAGAGAGAGCTGGAGAATGGACGAGCACGTGACCACAACACAGTTTTTCCATATTGCTCTCTTCTTGAACAAAAAAAACCCCAAAACAAAACAAGAGAGTAGAGTCTTCTGTGAGAAATAAACACAGGATACTTTGTCTGCATAGCTTCTCGCAGATACACAATAACTAATAAGGATCCAACAGCTAGCTTGACCACCCATGAGTGGTGAAGGCCAATTCAGAAATGTTTGGAACTGGTGTTTTTCCAAGTTGCACTCATTACACTTTAGGGTTTTTAGAGTTAATAATGTTAGTAGAACATTTCAGTTTAGCTATTTTTCCATTATTTTGGGGTTTGGTGTTGGGTTATCAAAAGCTCAACGTCAGACCAAACAGGTAGAAAAACAACACAGAAGCTTGACTTCCACAAAAACGTTTATTTTCCTAGTTTGGGTTGTATTGTAATCCCATAGCACCTTTTGTCAAACCTGTCTAGTGCTGAATGGGTAAGAGTAAAAAAATTGTTTTTATTAAAACTGTACACGAATGGCTTAACCTAGTGAACATGAAAACCACTAAATGCATACATGCATCTCTGGGGCACAGCGTCCCAACAGATCAATAAGGGCAGAGTAGAAGGACATGATGGCGTTGCCCATATGAACCACCTCCTCTTCATCATCACGATCAGTAGACCTGTTAGAGTTAGAAAAAAATGAAGACAATGGAAAAAAAACTGTGATATATAATAACTCAACCATCATGTAAAAGCAACATAGCTTAGATCTATTCAATATCTTTGCCTTACAGATCAGAGCTGACTCGATGCACAGAGCCCGGTAGGTCCAAAGCAGGAGTCTCTGAGATTTTAATAGCCTCCTTCATAGCAGCCAGTAGGCCGTTTCCTCCCTCTCCTCTCAGAGCAGGACCAAAACACTCTGGACGACGAATAAGTAGTTTCACCACAACGCTTGAGTTCTCCTCCACACTCTCCCCTTTAACACAAACACAAATCCTTATCCTCCACTTACAGGGAGTTTGGTCTTCATAGAGACATGTTTATCACGCATAAACCCTTATGAGGTGCTCTAGATGCAATTGGGGAAAAAAACACTGACATATGGACAGAAAGAGAAACTAATGAGCCAAAGTGGTCATACCATTGACAAAGACTGCAAAGCGCAAGAAGGAGAGATAACGCTCTCCTTCAATGGGGTTCCACCCAATGTCTGGATAACCTTTAGCCACAAGCATTGGACAGCTCTGTAGACCACAGCCAGCCAGGTATGTGACCACCTACAGATAGATTATGTGGTGTTCATTTTAATACGACAAAAGTACAGGGCCCTTGTAAATGAAAACGTTTGCGTTTTTTTTTTATGTTAATTTGACCTTGTGACTTTGCACTAAGCAACAACAGGTTGTGAGTCCTACCTTGTCCAGATCAGGTTCCTCCAATGCAAGAGCTAGGCCGTTGTTATCCATCACAGAGGATGCAGCTACATCTAGAGGAGTAGATCCTCTCATTGCTGGTGAAGCTAAAATACCAAAAGCATAAGGTTATATATTATATACAGGTTTAAGTTTATAGTGTATATTAATGCACGTTCCCTTTGATCCACATTGCAAAATAACCTGATTAAACAGTAGGGAGCGCTATTTCCCCTTAATACAAACTAGCTATTTTGACATCCTTTGGGACAATGGTCCGTACTCTGATTACCTTTAAAAACACAGTTAGAAAAGAAAGTCGCATCAATCATTTACAAAGTAAGCTCAAACAATCGAATATATGACACACTGCAGCACATTGATCCTTGTTAATCACAAATTATAGTAGAGTAGAAGAAAAGTGCCAGAAACAATATTCAAAACCTTTAAGATTATCCAACAGGGAATTTATTTTTCATGACCAGTGAGGAAAAACCCTCATGCTTAGTATATTTTGGCTTCAAGTTGAAAATCCTAATTGCTTATGGACTTAAAGGGATAGTTCGGGATTTTTGACATGAATCTGTATGGCATCCCCATCACCAGTGTCATGCAATCACACTGACTTACCCCTGGCAGCATCCTGTGAGCAGAGTTCTCGTCCAGCTTTGGTCAAGCCGAAAGTAGTCCGGCAGGTTTGCTAGACCCAGCGAAATAAAACGTTTCTCTTCCCAAAACATTATGTGTTCAAAAGAGTGATATTTTTGCATCCCAAAAACATTGTAGTGGAAAAAGTCACACGTCGTTATCACTTGGTCCTATTTTCTCTCTGTTCGTATCAGTGCGCGCGACACCATGACCTGACAGCTAGGGCCTACTAACCTGACAACAGCCAGATGCATGTCTCGCTCCACCTAGCTCCTAGCTGGGCAGAGCGAGGCATGCATCTGGCTGTTGTCAGGTTAAGGGCCTACCTGTTTGATTCGCGATTGTTTACTACTGGGGAAGATGTCTGACTACGAGAGCGACGAGGAAAACATCGACTTCCACTTAGAGCCAAAGGGATATCTTTATGAACCCGAGTACACTGACGATGAACTTCAACAAATGGAGTTAGATCGGGCAGAAAGAGAGAGGGTGGACAGAGAAGTGATGGAAGCTGAAGCCGGAGCCGCAGGAGCCTCAGCTGGAGCTGCGATATCCAGGGTGGCCGAAAAATCATGGTGCACTTGTTTCAAGTGCGAATTAATGCAGACAGAGGTGGATGCTACTGTTGCCACGAGTGGGATTTAGTAATGCCCGAGATACAGAACCTTTCCATTGATGAGGATGCCGGAGTTGCAGCAGCTGCTGTCTGCATCACAAACAACAGCGACTTCCCTGCCCTCCTCAAAGTTGAGCTCGCTGTCAGAATGACGGCGCGCACTGATACGAACAGAGAGAAAATAGGACCAAGTGATAACAATGTGTGACTTTTTCCACTACAATGTTTTTGGGATGCAAAAATATCACTCTTTTGAACACATAATGTTTTGGGAAGAGAAACGTTTTGTTTCGCTGGGTCTAGCAAACCTGCCGGACTACTTTCGGCTTGACCAAAGCTGGACGAGAACTCTGCTCACAGGATGCTGCCAGGGGTAAGTCAGTGTGATTGCATGACACTGGTGATGGGGATGCCATACAGAGTCATGTCAAAAATCCCGAACTATCCCTTTAATGGGAATAATCAGAATTACAAAAAAAAATCATCATTACTGCAGCTCAACAGTAAAATTGGCCTGAAATTAAACAGAACATTTATTTACTCATTTATTTGCATAGAAAAAAGAAAACCCAATTGAGGACAAGGGCATACAGTAATCATAAACAATTACAAACTGGATAGCACACGCAAAGTTAGGCTACGAAACCAAGTGTAAATTAAATTTGTTGATAAACTGAACAGAACAGCAATGACAAACAATTTTGCATATCTGCTTTCATGAATATGCACACTACATACTTATAACGAAACCATGCAAAATACTAGGAGGAGAATATGCAACTATAAATGCTGTAACTAAATGAGGTCACGGGTCTTATAGTTAATATTTACAGTTTGAAAGTCAGGTGCACCATTATTATAAACACAAAGGAGGCATTAGAACATTTACAGACACTGGAGAGAGAATCTTTGCACAAATTAACATATTTGGAACTTTAGAGATAACAATGATGGATTTTATGTGGAAAAACCAAAAAAAAGCCTGCGTGGATCAGATCAATGCAGCAGAAAGCAATCAATCTTTATGCAGTTAAACCAAATGTAAAACATTATGAATGAATGTAATATTGTGGCATATTTATAAACGAACAAAAAAGAACATTGAAAGCTATCAGGGAATAATATTCACATAGTGAATAAAGGGACAATAGAACAGGGGTCTATCCGTGCCTGAAAGAATGCATCCCTAATTTGTGGGAAGGGGGATCCTTTTGTACCGTAATGCTCCTTTGTGAGCTCTGTACGAAGCACAGTAACGTTGTAATTAATTATTATGACAAGTAGGTGTTTTGTGATGTTTGAGGTAGGAGAGGTAAATACAGCTGTTTAGAGCTTTATCTACCTTTAAATCTAACAGTTGCCTCATGGACTACCAGACCGCAGTCTGGGTTTTATGATTAATATCTAATCTTTTTACTTTAATTTGTACTGATTTCATCTTTTTTAAATTTTTCGTTTGAAGTATTTTGAGTTATTTATATAAAAATTGCACTATAAATAAGCTTAATAAATTCTTTTGACGTTCTTTTGAGTCTATATTTCTCTCCCCTATTTTTGACTTTTGACAGTGTTTCTTTGTGGCTTAGAACATAATTGTTCTTTTACAGCTACGCCCAAATAGCCAGTAGCACATGCTACATGCAGTCATTTAATTTGAACAGGGTGGTCTAAAATGTTTTGCACCCCTTATCCATTGCGTACTAGATTTTTCTCTTTAAAAACTCAACGTATTGTACTAAGCAAACACATAATTAGCATTCTGGCATAACCAGGCTTACAATGAAGGTTTCATCCTGTTAAAAGGGAGTTTTTCCTCTCCACTGTCATTACATGCATGCTTTTTGTGAGGAATTGCTTTCGAGATAATGCAATTAGTTTTTTTTTTTCCTTAGATAGAAATGTCTCTGTAAAGTGCGTTGAGATGACATTTCTTGTTAAGTGGTGCTATATAAATAAACTGAATTAGAATAAAATTAAATTCCCAGATCTATAATAGGATATGTAACATATAGAAGAGACATGGCTTCAGAGAACCAAGCTGGCCAAGAAATAAATGTGCCGTTAATACAATAGTATCATTCGTTTTCACTGAAGCTCAGAAAGTTAGAACATCCTTAACTTGATGTTATGAAGTACCGTAGGTAATAAATGGAGGACTGATTGTTTGGCTACAGAGGTAAGTAAATTGGCAGTCTGCAGAGCAGTGGATGCTTTGTTTTAGAATATTTTTGACAGTAATAGAAGTAGTTCTGGAAAAGAAAAGAATATATCTAAGAATCAAACCCTTGGAAACTCTGCTGGAATAAATTTTTCGAAATCAAATAGAAAACCATAAATGGACTGCTTTGGTGCTCTGATAGATTATTTAAACCAGATAGTACACAATTGCCTCTGTGCTCTGGAGGGGCGCATCTTCGGCTCTTCACAATCACTATTGAGCATTTTTCCTTTATATAAACTTTACATGCACAAGTGCAATCTCACAAACAACTACAGGTGCTTGGCTCCAGGTACTTAGAGATTCACTTCCATTCAGAAAGCCCATATTCTTATCTTCAGATTAAATACTACTAATTATACTTCAGTGATGGTATCAAGGTGTTACTTTATTGTATCTCTTATACTATATCCGTTGGTTGTGCTGTTCTTTTTACATCTCTTTGCAGGTGATGAAGCAGACTGTAATGTTTTATCGTTATCTCCCTTTTAAATCCCCTTTTATCGCCTCTTTCTTTCATCTTTTCTACTTTTCTTTTCCTTTCCTGTTCTACTGTACTTACATTGCAGTTTCCATAAAATCTGTAATACTCCCTGCATAAATTATAATAAAGCTATTTATATGCATAAATTAAGTGGAACACTATGGCGATAGCCATACTGCTCCACTTGTGAAAGCAAAATCTGTTAGGCTCTTTTTGGCATCAAGACAGTTATTATTATTGCCACATCGCCAGACAGGACACTGTTAAAAAAAAAAAAAAAAAAAATCACCCAAAGCAGTTGTTCATGGTATAAAACGGTAAACAGAACTACGAACAGTAAACAAAGGCTTTACTGAATCCTTTGTTTACTACCCATCAATATATGCCTTCTCCTTGCAGTGAAATCCTGTGGCAGCTAAGCTTATCCAATGCACTGAGGGGCCACTACACAGAGCTGTACTTACCCAGGCCTACGCTACTGTTTTCCAGCAGGTAGCTAAGGTGATCAAACATTGCTTTCTGGTTTTGTCGGCTGATTCGGCAGAAGTAGCACAAGAAACGACAACAACTGGCCACCATTTTAGGAAAAGCGATTTCCTGTAATATGGCATAGACAAACAAAGTTATAAACACACTTTATTTTTTCCCTGCCAATATGTTGCAAGTTTAAATAATGTGAATGTAACATTAACTGAAAACTAAATTAGATAAATTAAGCTTCATAAATTAGGCTTCCCTTATTTTACATAAGCTAATTTGGAGATGGTACCAGACTCTAGGTGTCTGACACATTCATGCACCTCCAGGCATTTGGGTACATGCTACTTTTCCTGTCTTTCTGCCAAGACTCTCTCTCGGTCTGCAACCATAATTCACACACTTGTAAGCTTGTAAATGCTCAAACCTCATACGAATATGATCAAAACTGTATCAAAGGTGGAGGTGTTTTGACATGTTTGGGTGTCTTTCTGACTGACTGATGTCTGATGATGGATAATGATTATGGTAATGTTTGATGTTTTCAAACCTGGGACTTGTCTCCTCCAAGCACGTTCACCATGACCTCCATTACAGTCTCGTGCATGCCCAGTATTCTCATCAGGTTTGGATGCTGGTAAAACACCTTGTTGTTCATGATGTCACTGCAAAGTGAAATAAGGTATTTTGGTTATCACTAAAGGTGTTAAATTAATTGGAACACAATTGCACCTATTTAAGTAATCATACCTTTGTCTACACATTCAACAAAGTACTCTAAAATATAAAATTTATAATGGAAAAAAAAATTAAGAAAATTCAACAGTGATGACTACTCTCCCACGGCAACATACACTGGAAGAAAAGGAAACCCGAAAAGGTCAAATTAAATGATCCATCAACTTACCTGAGTCCATCAATCATGAGCTTTTCCTCCTCTTTCCCCATGCGAACAGACAGCAGAGACCTGATCTGACCGAGGGAGGCCAGGAGGTTGATAGTGTCCAGAACAGAGGCAGCACTAATGGTGTAAGTCTTCCTCATTGCCCGAAGAAGCTCCCCAATGCTGTCATACTGTCTCCTCAGCAAGCTGAACATCTTGCGAACAAGCTTGGGGTCTTGGATGTGACATTCTTGTGCCCAGCTGACCATTGTCTGAGAGATGAGCTCCTTCAGATTAGCTGAAAATGATATCCAGGTAAAATTACTCTGTGTTCATTTAACAACAGAGCAAGATTCTCAATTAATATGTAAGAGACAATTGCTACAGTACATTTTAATTATCATAGAACTTTAATCCTTTACAAGAATCAGGTCAATAGAAAAGTGATGGGCAATCTGTCGTACACATCAATGTAAGGCAGAAATGCCAACATGCTGAAAGAAGAATGTTCTAATTATGTAATAAAAATGTTCTAATTATGTAATAAAAATACCAACAGCAATGGTATTTTTAGGGCATCGTTTGGTCATGAACGCAACTGCTGTAATCTAAGATCATCAAATCAAATTAAATATAAACTGGTTTCATCGTCTTTACATTCTTAATGTATATAATGGTGCTTTCTAAAGACTTTTCAGACTATACTGAGGCAATGTTTATACTCCTAATGGTGCTTTTAAAAAGAAGTCATCTGTTTTGACAGCTTACGTACATAAGGGCTTCCCCTAATGCCTCATTGAACTTAACACCCACCTAAATTAAACTAATCCTCGCATTTTTGCATTTGAGTATGTGAAGAGAACCATAGGTTGGTTCTTAGAGTACAACACCAAGAGAGAAAAAATATTATCTGAACTATTTAGGAACATTAGCATTCGATCCCACTAATTATATTTAACCATACACTTTTTAAACTATTTGAGAAGTTCACTGTTCGATAGTGGAGAAAAAGATACCGATGATTAAGAAGGCTCTGGATTTCTTTCACTTCTATCTATTGCAAGCTCCAGTGATCTGAGAAGCATTTTGATTCAGTATCAACCATATGCACTGAGAGCAAACTGTGCTGTCTCTCTCACTGTATGAGCTGTGGTAAGATCCACCCCTCACAGCTTTGCTTTAGTTAACTTTGCAGTCCCCACTTCAAGGATAACTTGAAAATGTTGCTTGTTTGTTTTGAGTGCACACATATCAAGATTGCAAGGTTAAAACTATTTTATTTTGTAATATCTTTTGTAATATCTTTCTTTGCTTGATTGACCTGGGTGTTTGACTTTTCATTCTGGCTTGGAAAAAGGCATTGTGAAGGGTTGAAGGACCTGATGTTCTACTGACTGCCTCATTAGACTAAACCATGTGCTCCATTGCCTGAAGGATGTCTTTGTTTTTTGTGATTTTGTTAGATTGTTTTGTGGCACTCATTTTATTTTCCTCTTGTGTGCCATATAGTTTAGCTAAACCACTATTTCACTTTTCTAAAGTCTCAGTTCAGGAGCCCTTGTGTCCTATATATTTTGTTTTTGGTTTAGTTAGTTAAGATTTTCTCTCTAGCTTATTGTGGTAAACTCTGTTATTGGCCTGCATGTCAATGTTTCAGTTTTGCTTATCATTTTTTGTACTTATGGGATAAATTAAAACCCAACATTTTAAACCTAACGTGTTTCCTTTATGCTTTACTGCCTAGTCCCTTATAATGACAATACAACAATTATTTTCATTATTATAAAATCAAATTTCAAGTATTCAACAATGATTTTAGCTTGCTAACAATTAAATAAGATAAATAATACAGTTAGAAACACAAAGTACACTAAGCAAAACATTAAGCATTTTTATGCGACAGATGACAGTTAGCTGTACTAGGCATGGGCAGTTACTGGTTTCACAGTATACCCTGGTGTGAAGTAATAAAACTGTTGATGTTTTCAGTCATACCATTCTTGGGGCAAAAACGCTTTAGTTTCATAAATTTCATCAGAGAGGGTGCTTAGGTTATGAGGAATTGCAGCATCCTGACACCTTCGTCAAGCACACCCTTGTGTAGCTGCTTGCTCTACAGATGGCTGAAAGAGGGGAGTGCCCTGAATTCTTTCCCCTGCTTTGGGCCTTACAGCTAGGGCATGACCTGCCACCACTGTTCTCTGAAATTACCAAAGTCAGCTATAAAGGAATATTTCTACTGCAGGAAGATGGACGGCAGCGGCTGGGAGTAAGAAAGTTGCAATACATGTTTTTGAATATTGGCGGACAGAGTATGCATTTGCAGCTATGACTGCACATGTGGAGCATCATCCAGCACTATTTAATACATTCAATATAAAGTTTATGCTGTCTTGAATTGAGCAATAAACCTTTGGTGTCAGGCATTAGTGAAAAAAATAGGCTGCTACCACCATGTTACAGATTGGTGATTATGCTCAAAGCAACTTGTCAACCAGAGACCTTTGAAGTGTATTTGATTAGCTTCTTTAATGTAGACATTTAAGAAATAGAGCCATTATCATAATAGGATGCTACTATGATATTTTTGCATGAGGTTATCATGTCATAAGAATTTCATTCCAGCCCATGCCTGATGCATATTGTCTGCATATAAACAAATACAACATTTGGCAGTTCTAGAAACTGTTAACTGTGTTAAAAATATATCAATATTTTGGTATTTAACGGATTTTCACTATTAAAAAAAAATCTGCTTCCTATGGAAATTCACAGTTCAGTTTAACATTTTTGATAACTATTATTCATTATAAATATATTTTTCTTTTAGTTGTTCTTTACCTTTATTTTAAAGAGACATCATGTTAGACATTAAACCTTTAATTTGAAAACATAAAGTGATGACTATCTTTTGACTAAGTTATCACTTTTTTTCCATATTGCAAAATACTATTGTTAATTTAACTCAGCTGTTGGAATTTTAATAGAGCCCATGTTTGGACAAAGATATCTGTCGATAAAAAACATATGTTTAGGTGTTTGAATTTGTAAATGTTAGTCAATGAGTATGATTAAATTCAAGATTTGTGTCTGTTCCTTACATGTTATATGAGAATGTTTATCTGTTACAATACAGATTTAGAATTTACAAATACAACATACAAATGTAATACCCCTGATTAAGCAGGTACACTCCTTACCAGTCGGTGGCAGTAATGCAACTGAAAATTGCAGCCATTAAATAAAAAAAGAGGAAGAAGACAAAAATAAAAGCATCAATTTTTGCTTAAATGTTTTCAGTGCATGCTGAGTATAATGTTCTTGTCTTTTTCCTCTTCTCTAAAAGAAGGATTTGGCGAATAACATTAAGGTGCATTACCACCATCAAGTGGTAGGAAAGTAAAAGCTTGTAAATTTGTGATTTGTATTGTTTTGTTGCAAAGTTGTAACTTTGGATCTTGTTATTTAACTTCTAAACTTCTCACAGATCAAACATTTTACTTAACGTGTACATATAGGTTGACAAAAAAGAAAAAATACAAATCTTAAATATCTCATTAGAATAACGAACTTAAATTGACAAATACAGATATCTATAAATATGACCTGATTGACAGTAATCGTACCTGCTACCCATATCTCAATCAGATGTGCTGTAAAACTCTATCTTCTTAGCAAGTTTATTTCACATCAGTAAAAGCAAAAAAATACAGTAAAAGCAAATTCTTCATTAGAATGCCCTCTTCATTTTTTTAAGAACTATGATTGACTGGAGACTAACCTGTTGTAAATTGAAAAAAAAAAATCAAATTACTAAGTGCACTATACTAAGCCAAGCTGACACTTCAGCAAGAAGACCAGGACTTTGCTATTTTTAGTATTATTGAGGTGGTCACTATAAAGTCAAAGGGGGCAAAGACACGTAGAAATATAAAAAAATAATTTATTTGTCGTGTTAAATGACATTCATGCTGGTAGCGAGAGAGTGAGGCACAGCAATTTTTAAGCAGATTCCAAGAAGGCTTGACAGAGAAGAGAAAAGTTTCTCTATGAGCTTTTATTTCTTTTATAGAATATGCTATATTTAGAAATATTGGCATTTTTGAGAAATGCTTATTTTCTGTGGAAAACACACACTGAGACAACTGCTGCAGCAATGCCACCTGTAATTGTGCTGTAAAGACAGCTTAAGAGTCAACTCTGTAACCAGTTAAAATAGTAAGACACTTCTTCACAGGGACTGTACAGTCACATATAGATCATCACATTGGCTCTACCCATAATATAACTAATTGCAACTCGGAGCAAGAAGGCAAAAAAGGAAAGAAAATGCAACACTGCTTTTAGAGCTTTTATATTTATATCTTTTAGGTGTACATCGTTCTGGAAAAGTGACGCATGAGAACTAGTGTTCATTTCAAAGTGTCTGAGTGTATTCAGACCAAGCTTTTGAGTATATTGCTATTTTTCTTTCTTTTCCATTTTGCTTTTCACATTTCTCCAATCCCATCGGAGACAGAGGGGTATCTTCACTCTGCAGTATCTCCTCCATCAGGCTATGTTTTTTTCATAATGAAATTGAAAATAAATCGAAATCACTGCAAGACAGTAACTCAGTCCACAAGACAGCCAAGGACACATGCTTGTATTACAGTGGAGCAACCAAAGAAATACCAGCTCACACCCCTCACTTTTAGTAGCAAAGAAAAAGGCCTGGGCAAAAGGAAGTGAAAAAAATGTAGGAGTAAATGGGAATGTAAATATATTAGGCTTTGGCAGAAAAAAGTGTTATTAACAACAGTGAAAAGAAGAGTTTTCTGTCCTACAAGAGCTGATTAAAAAAATTCAGACATTAATGGATGTAACTTTTTAATCAATATAATTCCTGAGATGCTTTCCAGTGGCCATATTAATTACATTTTGTCTATGCCACTGGGCCAGTCTGATTTTAACATTTAGCAAGAACTGCAGCTCACGAAATAATGTCTGTGATAATAATAAAAGTATTTCCTTACACGGTGCTGCTTGTTTCTTCTCTATTGGTTCTTGTGCTTTATAAGACTGACTTTTAATCTTGTTCACCAGCATAAGGAGGCGACCTTTAATAGATGTATCACGTTCATCTTCATCTTTCTCCATCGGGATTCCTGCAAAGCAAAACAAGACAAACACACTATATTAAAACAAAAACTTCAGTAGAACTTAGTTCTCCTTGCAGATTTGAAAAGTAGTCTGTGTTCAGTCCAAAGCACAAGATGTACAAAATTGCTCTTTTTTTTTGTGCACATTTTTTTATTGTTTTACTGAATAGGAGATGGGGTGAGGTACCAGGAAAGGTTAGTCCCATGCAGCACAGCTGGGGCCACTGTTTGTTCAGCAGTAGAATTTGGTAATTCAATTGTTTAACAAAACATCACGATTTCAGAACAAATGCAGCAGCACTAAGCAATAAATCTTGTTCTAAGACAACTTTTTCTGTGAACAATTCTGCTGATGCTGACATTTCATCAATTTGCTAAAATATAAACTTCTGCTTTATTTTTGGCAAAAAACAGCAGAAGTCTCTTGTTAAATATAGACTTATTTTATATCATTTTGTTTATAAAGCAGAGCAGAACTATACAGAAGTAGTGGAGAACATGACTTGCTATTAAAAATATCTCAATGTGCTACAGAGATATATAAAAAAAAGAATTAAAAGAGGAAAAGATAAAGTAAAAAATTTGACTTTTTTCAACCCCTACCCACAATAAGGTAGGCTTTGCCCTGTCATCCCCATGTCCTCTCAGAGGCTGTAATAGTTGATCTCTGGTGGTTTTTAATGTTCAGTTTTATTTGTTAATAAACATGCCACAAAATTGACGTTCAGATATGGTGTTTTGTTTTGTTTTTTGTTTTATTAGCATAAGATTGTTTGTTCAGTGCTGGATTAAACTATGTTTTCCCCTTCATATATCTCCTTCAAATTAAACTATTATTTTTGACAACCTGAATGGTATCACTGCCATGGGGGAATGTAATCCCATAGAAATCTTGCCATCCACTGAGAGACAGGGAAGTTCAGAGTCACTGATGTTTAACCTTTTCTGCACTCTGAGTTCCAAAAATCTAATAAGATGACTAAAAACAACTAATCATGGTCCTGCTGTCCAAAGGTTTTCATCATATGCAAAATTATTTATACACCTTAAATTTTTTAACACTTTTTTTGTATTTTATTTGGTGTGACTGACCTGCAAAATCGGAAAATGTAAGCAAAATGTAATTAGATTTTCATCAAGTGTTTAGGTTCATTGTCATAAACTAGAGCAGAAATCCTAAGCATTCAACCAGCACTCCAATGGAATGCTTAAGTCTAGGGATCATAACACTTAATTGTCTTTCATTGAGCCTGCAGGGCATTTCATGCTCGCCTATTGCAGCAGTGTATGCTGCCTTTGTGCATTGTAAATTCTTTAATCGATGAGAGCAATATAGGTTCAATGTGTTGTTTTAAAAACTTTTAGATAGTAAGCATGACTAATAAAATAGCTCATAAAGTCTTTGCTACATCTGCATCTCACCACAGTGGAGCTGCAGCTGGTTGTGGAAGTTATAGAGCTCCTCCTGTATTTCTAAAGGACATGGACAATCATCACCAATGCTGAAAGTCAGCAGCATGTTGATCTGAAATGACAGAAAATATGAAATCAGACAAGAGTAAAACAAATTTAAGTTTCAATGAAACTGCCTTTCTCCATTAAGGATATATACATTCTTAGTGATGACTCATCCTGTTGTTGATTTTTAAAGGTCATATCAACATGATGCATCAGTAAGATTCTCAAAAAGGAATAAATGTTTTAATGGATAAATGTCTCTTTGCAGTTGCATAGCGGGTAAGTGACTTTTAATAGACAATAAACTAAAAATAGTTGTGCTTCTTCAGCTTGTTGTCTTCCCAGCGGTGCACAAGAGCTTTTTGCCCCCAAGCTTATTGAAAAGATGGAACAGATTCAGAAATATTTGGGGCAAGGATAAGCTTTCAACCTCTTGAGGCCGAAAAGCAAAATTGAAAGACTAATGATTCAAATCTCTGTAGACTAACGTTACGATCGAAAACTAGCTATCCATATGAACAAACTACTAGCACTTTGTAACACACATGCACACAGTTTCAAGCAGACTGTCACAAAGACTTTCCTTTTTTACACAAACTTTAGTTTCATGAGAAGCTTTTCAAGTTTATTTGGAATTTAAAGGGACATTGTTTGAAAATGTATCTTTTTCACTGCCTGAAATCAATGATGCTATTTACATATGTTATCATTGGTGTATTTTTATCTTCACTAATAATCAGGCTCATTTCATAAGCAAATAATTTTAATTTGTTCATAAATAAGGTTGGTCAACCTTTTGCAAAGCGCCATGACAGTCTGTCATCGTGAAAATACAAGGGGCGAGGGATAAAATAGTCCTAACGCATGGAATAACACGTTTCCCTTAGTGGCAGTGCAGTGCTATTGAGAGGCGGTGATGAAGATCATCTGGAGACACCAACCCAACAACTGAAATTCTGCACTACTGCAGCACAATTTAGGAACATGCATATGGAGTAGCAGCACTAGAAAGGTTTAACCATCCCCAAGAAAGTGAAAAAGAGAACTCAAAAGACAAATAACCTGGAGACATCAAAATTAATAAAGATCTGGCAAACCTTCTCCAGATGGAAGGAGCTAATGAAAGAGAAAGGTCTTCAAAGGGATGCTAAAGTTACAATTTTTCTCCTTGACAACTAAGAGAACTGTACTGCCTAAATTAGGATAAAGCTAACTCTTTCCATTCGGTTCAAGTAGACAGTGATGTAGTTTGAATAGAAAGCATAACAGTAGATCTTGCACAGATACACCAATTTTGCTATTGCAGAATTGTAGGTTTAGTAGCTTTCAAAGCTGCAACAAATGCTGGCTTTTTGTCACAGTAAATGTCAGCTTGTAGAGACTTAACTTTAAATGAAATAGTTATATGTGCATTTACAGTTACATGTTTTAGGAAGTGAGAAACTATGGTATACAGTAGTGCTTGTTTTTGCAAAATACCCCAATTTCACTGCTAGATGACAGTTTGCAAGACAAACACTAAGTTAACAAGGAAACGTGTAAAACAAGGAGGTCTATACAGGTAGAGACTATTGTAAATGTTGTTGATATTTTACCAGATTTGCTCTGAAGAACTAAAGGACAAAATCTCATTCATATATTTTGTTCTATACTTTGAATAAATTAAAAATACAAGAGAAAGATGGATTCACTACATACTGTGTAAACACACAGGTACTAATAGTGATTTTTAAGCAATTCCCTGTAATTCAGTTCAAAAATACTTAATTAATCCAAAAGGAAAATTAAATGTTGTATTAAAAATATGTGAGTTTTCAGAATGAAATGAGTGAGCAGCCGAAATTGCTGAGCCTATTACCCAAATATAAAGATAGTAGATAAGATAGTACAGAATGAATATCCTACACCAAACAAACATTGTTATTTACTGAATAGACAAGCAAAAGTCAGTATGTAACAATAGTGTCCTCCAAAATATTATGACATAACTGTTAAAGATATACTGTATTGAATTTGATCTCCAGTTAAAACACCTTTCTTATTGGTGAACTTTTAGTCAATGTACTGGATGAAAATAAATTTAATAAGTCATAGAGAACAATATCTTTTCCTTGATAGCTAAATTTTGTCTATTTTGCAAAACTTTTTAACAAAGGCAAACTGCAGTGAGAAAATCTCCAGGTTGCATTGTTCACACGATCTATGTGTGTATAGCTTTAAATGCACACAAACTTTTAAGTTTTGTATTAAAAACATTCATGCTATCTCACATTTATTTTTATTCAAGCTTTTAAATGTAATTACAGTCATTTTTAACTGTGTGTTTATATGACCTGCTCCTGAGGAGGTGATCTGAACTCTTTTGTCTTCTTTGCTGTAACAGCTGCAGACATATTGAGGGCCAGCATGAGCTCATTGTAGCGGAACTTCTGATTGTGCTGCAGTTTGGAGACAAAGCTGTCTGAAAACGACACAATGGCCTCAATACGGTGCTTTAGCTCGCAGTCGCAAAAATAATGAAGCAGCTCACACATCTGGGGAACAGACAAAGAAAGAAGATACAATTCTCAGAAATTAGGAAGGCTTTCAGTACATCTTTGTGTTCTGTTCAATCAAGGCTTAGATAACAAGTTCAAATTCCTTCATGCTTTTATATTATCCCACTTGATAATTTCATTGATGAATGACTTCTCATACTGTACTGATATATATACACTCAACACAGCAGTTTTTGAGTATCTGACTAAGAACAGAGCTGTCACCTTTCTTAAATGGAAATGTGTACCTTTTATTACTTTTTTATATTTACAGATGCCTAATAGTGAATCCTAACATTCTGGGGGGGGAAAAAATCGGAATTTCAAAATGACATTATAGTAGATTTATAAGTGGCACATTCCAGATGTTATTGATGTTCATTTTGATGAGATGAAACACTGTTTTGTTTTATACTTCTTTTTCCATCATTACCAGTCGCTTGACGGGCTCTGGCAGCCTCTTCTCTAGAAGCCCCTTTATTGGCTGCTTGGCCTCTTTGGCTGCCTCTTCTTCTCCTGCTTCCACCGCTTTGCCTTCAGTCCCAGTAAGTCCCTCTTTTTCCATGGTTCCTGGGACCCATTCCACATGTGCATCTCTAAACACGTTCGGGTCAATGAGCAAAAGAACTTTTTGAACATCCTCGCTACCTAAAACACCCATCGTCAGCAAGGTGCTAATCAGCTTCAGGATGGGCACAAACTGATATTCTACGCCTCCTCCAACCGGATCTCGAATGTGGTGCCCGCCGCCTTGAACAGCTTCTGTCAGCATTGAAATTGCTTTTTCCTTAAGTGCATCCAGTGGGATTTGGGGACTGTACAGATAATCCCTCTTGGTGCTGATGAAGCATGGTGGTGTAAAGTTGAGGCGGGGTTTTAGGGAGGTGCTGAGCCCCACCCCTGGTGGGCTGTGTTTTTTTGTAGCACTTGAAAAAAGACGAATTGAACGCGTCTCAGCTGTGACTGGAATGATGAACTCATCTTTCATCATGAGTCTGGCCTTCTTGGCTGTCTCCAGGTGGATGCTGATCAGAACATTGTAGAAGCCCTCCCGTAGCATGCCGGAGAGATATTGATTATCGATGGTGTATAGGAGCTGTGACTGGTCCAGGTGGCTGCAGAGGGCGTGGGCAACGCGAGTGTTTCCCAGTGCACAGAGGGCACAGTAGAGCTTCAATGTGTGATAGTGGAACTTTCTCATGTCCTCCTGCTCTGACAGCTCCATAATGTCAACACACCTTAAAAGGAGAGCAGATGCACACAACATTTACTAAAATGTGCAGAGTCGTTATCCCAACAAATGAATTTTTGAATAGAAAATCAAGACAGAAAACCGTAGTCTTTAAACCTTTTTTGTTTATATGTTGTAAGATTAACCTAGAAATATAAATATAGTTCAGCTGTATTTTATTTTAAGCACAAATACAAGAACGGAGTTAGTTTTTATTTACTCATAGAAAATTGGAAAAAAAAATAGGGTACAAATGTATCACTACTTTTTAATATCCATCCGTTGTCTCTAACCAGTTATCCCTGAAGGGTTTGGTCGGATTGAACAATACATCACCAGTCAATCAAAGGACAACATACAATAGAGACACAACACCACGCAAGGACACACTTTTGTGAAATTAATAATAATAATAATTTAACTTTATTGATCTCACATTGGAGAAATTTACCTATGCACTGCCATTGTGCAGCGTCCGAGGAGCAAATGGGGGTTAAGGGTCTTGCTCAGAGACCCAGAGTGCAGGCTGTGGGGATCGATACAGCTACTTGCACCTTTTCCCTTTAATGAAGTCATTGTTGATCAGCTAAACTTTATAACATAAAAACACTAAGGATGATTTCAATTTTTTTGTCATTTTGTTGGCATTCTTTAGTGTAATCTCAGTAAAATGGATTATTTATAAGATTATAATCTTTTCTAATTTTGTTTTATTTATAAATGTTATGTATGATTGTGTTGTATTCTAATAGCTCATTAATAGCAAAAAAAAACAGTGCAAGAAATCGTGCAGCTAATTCTTACTGTAAAGGAGCAATGACAACACTTCTGTTATCAAGTTTACTTTATACTACTGTAAGTATCAAAATATACTTTGGCCCAGCAAAACCCAACTGTAAAGCTCTTCATTTATTGATGTGTTACCCTTACTAACAATGAATTTATGAACTGAATATTATTAGCGATGCTCGACTGCTACTCTCCTTCCTAGTTTATTTGGTATATGAATAATATCCATAATAATGTATAATTGTATGTTGTCTATTTTTACACAGCAATGTTCTACACTTTAAATGTGTTTTGTGCATAAATAAGAAATAATCACTAATAAAAATTCCAAAATTACATTTCTAGAGTTTCTGGTTCTTTGTAGCACATATAGGATATAAATCAAAAGGTTTACTAAAAGGAAGGAAGGAAGGAAGGAAGGAAGGAAGGAAGGAAGGAAGGAAGGAAGGAAGGAAGGAAGGAAGGAAGGAAGGAAGGAAGGAAGGAAGGAAGGAAGGAAGGAAGGAAGGAAGGAAGGAAGGAAGGAAGGAAGTTGAGGATTTGTGTACTTTTTAATAAACAGAGCAAACAGCATGAAATCACTGCACAACCTGTTCTCCTCAGGTATGTGAATTGCCAACATCTGCAAAGGCTCCACACACTGAACCACCCAGCCTTGCCTCTCGTTCACTCTGGCTGTTTCTACTTTGAGGAAGATGTTGGGCATGCGGCTCCACAGCACTGCATTGATTGTCTGGACATCTAGCCGAGGCGGACACTGGGGCACTGGGTTCTTGTGTTCACTCTTAAAGATGGCTGATGACAGGGGCATTGCGTTCTGAGCGGCACAAAAAAATATAGCAAAACAACTTGAGTCTTTTGACTATGTTTTCAGTTTATAGAATGATAACAGTCTCTGGAATAGATAGAAGAAATAAAATGTTTACAACGGCAAAGGAAAAAAAAAAAGGTCGTCATAAAAGGAAAAAAGAGTTTACCTTTACTTTAGCCAGCTCGAACTGAAAGAGGTTTGGGCTGGTGGGTCGGACGAACACAGCAGGGAAGAGTTTTGTGTTGGGTTCCACCTAGAAAAAAAAAATTAGAATATATTAATTTCAAAGTAAAAAAAATTATAATAATTTAGTAAGTAAGTTTCAGAAGGGGCAAGATTGCAGGCCTTGTAGGAGGCAGTTTAAACGATGCATCATGAAAAAGTATTATTTGATGATCAAGTGTGTGTGTCATCATATGAGTGTTGAATTACAGGATGAGTCAGTACCGGTTAAAGCCTTGCAGAATTTCAGCTAGGGAAAAATGTAAGAAGATTATATTGCTTGAAAGGCTCTCCGAGGTTTAGCTTTAAAGTACGTCCAGAAAAAGCATATTTCAAGTTCAACAATAGACGTCAGTGCTCTGTCAGGAAAATATGCAAAGCTGTAGAAAGACTGACTCTCCTGCTACAATCTAAACTGCTAAGAGTGAGCAGAGTGTGAAAATAAGAATGGAGCAAAATTAAAATTAATGACGTAGGTAAAAAATCACAAGTGTCAGGATATTGTAATCAATTTAACAAACTTGTTTAACTTCCATTACCGCATCTTTCAACAGAGATATATGTACAGAGAACCAAAAAATACATACACTTTTATATCTTAGGTTTAATATTGCCAAGCATTGGATAACAATCTACAGTATTGATTCGACAATCTAAACCTTCATATTTTTTATTTGGCTTTAAGGACAACCTGTGGAAAATCATTTTAAAAAGGGGTAAAACATTCATGGCTGTAGCTGTCATGATCATGGCTCTGAGAGCTGACGTAATTTCTCATTTCATTCACCTGCTTAACTGTGCCCAGTTTCCAATTACCACTCATCTAATCCACCTGCTCCTGCTTCTATATATACAGCTCAATCCCACATCATTGAGGTTTAGATCATGTAAATCCCTTGTTTGTCCCACAATGGGGAAATTCACTCTCTGCATTTGACCCATCCCCTTGGGGAGCAGTGGGCTGCTATTGTTTGGTGCCCAGGGAGCAGTGTGGGGCTAAGGGTTTTGTGCAGGACCCAAAGTGGTGGCTGTGGGGATCGAACCAGGTACTTGCAACCTTCTCAGAGCACAAGCGCACTGTTCATGACTTCCTGATCCTTATCTGCCTCTTCTCCACTGAGCTTGCTCTGTTATTATCTTGGCTCAATGGAGAGAGTGAGATTTTAGTGTACCGTTCAGAGTTTATGACAGTAATAATTAGAAGGAGTTGTGATAAGAAACACTGTGAAGACGGGCACCAAAACGTTTTATTGTTTTTTTTTTGTTCTTGTTATTTCATTGCAGTTAAAAGATAAATAAGCTGCTGTGCAAATTCTTCTAAATGATGCATAAATTATATACTGGTGTGGTGAGAGCCAATTGGAGCCAACTGGAGCTTGAGAAGCTCCAGACTGTGGAAAGCATTTTTAACTTCTCAGGATCATCATCCATTACATCTTCCCTTACCATCCTCAACAACACTGTGTTTACTTCTGATCACTATTGGTTCATTGAAACCATGGTTTCTTGGGACTTGATCAAGTCCTCATACATAGACACCATTTAGAATATGGCTCCACTGAAACTACACTCTGCAAAAATTCAAGAAAATTCAAGTGGTAAAAATTTCTACAGGGACTGCTGGTTGTCTTCTACACAGCTGTTTATAGTATGTCCAATGCACATACATCACACATGCTTTCGCTCAGCAACTAAAAAGTGCACATCCAAACAGCCATAGCTAGTCATACTGTATAAATAGGGATGACCTGCTCTTCAACCGAAACTAGGATCAGAGAAAGGGCAGTTATAATTTTTGCACAGCACACACAACCTGTCAACAAATTCTGCCTCCTAGAAACATTTAAAGAAAAAACTAATACAAAGAGTATTTGCTGATAAAGTCCACTCTGATTGTGTGAAACACCTCAGTGCCGAGGGTAGAGTAACAGCCTGCAGCATCATACCACCTTCACCATGCTAAAGAACTGATTCAGTCTTACATTTGAAACATCCATTTACTCTTCCTTAATTCTTGTGTCTAGTACTAAGACAATCGTTGTCTCATCTGATCATAATTTTTTTACTCAGTAGAGATTTAATTAACAAGCTGTATTTTTGGCTATATCCAAAGCTGCCCCTTAGAAATAATTCTAAATGAACACAAGAAAATTCTTCTTATTATATCTATTGAAAAAGCAGGGTTAAATCAGTCTCTAAAATATATATTACCAGTATTGAAACACATTATGACACTGCTGGGTAGAGAGCACCACTAGGAATATTTTCTGACTTAATATTACTCCAAGCAACTTATTATATATTTTGGAATATATCTCCTTAGATTTTTGTGGTAATTTTGTTCAACTTTTTAAATAATTTATTTTTAGCACTGATATAGAGTTACAAGGTGTGTTTGTAACATGGAAAAAAAATCATAATCCCTTAAGCAAACCAATACCTGGTAGGATGTGGTTATCTCCTTTCCGTTGACAGTGAAAGTGACAAGGCCAGTGGCGAGGTCAATTAAACATCCAATCACCAGGTCAACATTGCTGCGGCTGGTGGCGTGAGTAGCACTGTTCACATCACCACCCCACACCATGTAGCAGTTACTCCTCTTCACACTGTTTTTGCATTAAAAGATATGGACATATATCAGTGTTTAGAACACAAAACATAAAACATGAAATGAGAAAAATTAGACTCGCCTTTCATGGACTCGCCCACGTTCATCCCCCAGGGTTACAGTCACTGTTCTGTTCTTGCTTAGGTTGAAATTGTTGCTATAATAATGATAATCAGGGGTAACCCATCCAACCCACACACAGGAAGGGTCCTGACCAGCGAAGATTCTCACTGAGTGGTAATACTATTATAAAATAAAGCAAAGTTAATGAAAAATGTAGGTGGCAAATCAGGTATCAACAGACAACATTTCTAATACCGTAGTGATGCTGCTGTAATCCACTCGTTTACTCTCCTCAATGTGCCGCACGGATCTCAGTGGGTATCTACACAAGAACAATTTAAAAGGGTTATAATCAAGATTACTTAATATTGTATTTTATACAAAAAAAAAACTTCTCTTTGAAAGGTTTGCATGTATTAAAAAGCATGCAGCTCAGATTTTCATACAGGATGAAAAGTGATTTACTTGTGCAAAGCAGCAGACAGCAGGTGCAGACATTTTTTAGTTTGCATCTTCATGAATCTTCAGATCATTTTCTAATCACCAAATCATTTGAATTTATGGGTGGGGGATATACAAATAAAATATTTGTTTTGATGAGTTGGAGGTAAATACAGCTGTTTAGAACATAATCTTCCTATAAATCTAACCATTGTTCCTGTGCACATAGGTGGAGAAAATATCTGGTTTTATAATTAATATTTAGTGCAGCTTTTGCAATATTCATATTTTTATTTTTGTTTGTAGCAAATTGAGATACTTATGTAAAGTGCATTACAATGATATTGTTCATTATTTAATATATATACTGTAAGAAGGTTCTGCGTCCTGGCCCAGGATCATTCTGCATAGAGTTTGCATGTTCTCCCTGTGGATGCATGGGTTCTATCTGGGTAGTCCAACTTCCTCCCACAGTCCAAAAACATGACTGTTAGGATAATTGGCTTTTCTAAATTTTCCTTAGGTGTAAGTATGTGTGTGTGCATGGTTGTGTATCTTTGTGTTTCTCTGTGTTGCCCCCCGACAGACTGTGACACACCTCTCGCCCACTGACTACCGAAGATAGGAACCGGCCCAACCGAGACCTCAACAGGACTAATCAGGAGAAGATGGATGGATATATATATATCTATGGGTGTGTGTGTGTTTCACAAATTCATTTTGATAAATTTGAATTAAAGTTCTCTCTAAGTCACCTTTAAATTAAGCCTGGTTGTATAGATTGTAGTCTTAGCATGACTTGAATACAACTATTTTTGTAGGCTTTTGATGTTTCTTGGAGAAAATCACCGATTGAGCTGTATTGCTATGAAACATACATAAGAGGTTAAGAAAAAAAAAAAAAAAACTTTTGAAGGTGTTTAAAGCAGGGTTAGGAAATAACACAAAAGTCAAATCTTATGAAACCTGAACCTATTGCAGAGCACTAAACATCCCATCATCTTAGATTAGAAAGAATGGATAAGAACAAGAAGCCTTTGAAAAGCATATTTGAAAGATCTGCAGAGATTAACAGCTCTGGAGGACAATTTCTTAATTGGACAGCTACTAATTGTCTACTCCACATATGGCTTGAGGTAATATAATATCCGTTGTTGGAAGATAGCCATGAGGTCCAATTTGCAGTTTGCTAGACAGCGTATATGGGAAAGAGAAAAACATATAGGAGAAGGTGGTCTGATTACAAGAGAAAACCAAACTTGAAAAAACACTATGCGGTGGAAAACTAGCACAGTATTTTACTCTAATCAAATCACCCCTACCATGTTGCAAGGTGTTGGCAGCACCATACTATTGGAACTCTGTGGACTACAAGAAGAAAATTTCACTTCCTATTAGGACTCACAGCCTTAAATAAACCTCAGCAGCTAAATAATCAAACATGAAATCCAGCTGTAGTTGCAGCGAAAGATGATTCTAGTCTACTTTAGTAAAGCTTGATAGATAGCTTGATAAGCTTTTGATTTATTTTTAATGAACTGCTTGTCTTTCATATTTTGATTATACGCATATATTTTGTATATTATCTCACAAAAAATCTAAATAAAAAAAATGGAATTTTGAATTGTAAAACAACTAAATGTGTAAACGAAAGGGGTAGTGAAAACTTTTGCATTCATATATTTGTTAAAGATCCAGCACCTGTGTTTAACCTTGAGCAAATCCTCTTCATGCACGCCGTTTATGTCCACCACTGGGCTCTGCTTGAAGAAGGAGTGGAACTCTACTGGCATGCTGAGACGACAGAATACCGTGTCAGCATTACTGTTCTGGTTGCCAAATGTCTTATGGGTGACCTTCAGACATGGGGGGCTGTCGATAGTACCGTCAATCCTTGTTACCTACAAATGAAGAAAAACAAATTCAGAACTTCATGTTTTTGTATTTTTAGCTACGATATTTAAACTGAAAAACTTTCATCTTACTGCAATATGGTTGTGGTCCTTTGGCACATTGACAAAAGTAGGCAGACGCTTACTGAACCACATTGTGACTTCCCTGTTCATGTTGACTGCAAAAGGTTCAAATCCCTCTTGAAGGCCACATGTAGTGTAGTATTTGAAGGTACTGGCATCTTTCCCTAGATTCATACGACCCACTTGAGCAAGGCCAAGACTGCAGACTGGAATAAATCCTGAAGGGTAACCATTGGAAAGAAGTAAGGAGGAGAGAAGAAGACAAAGAAGAAGCTTTAAAAAGAGAAACTTAAAGGACATGAGGAGTATATAAGATGAATTAAAGTCAAGCCACCATTTGAAGGAACCCTTTTTGTCAGATTAAGGAAGATTTATAGTAGTATATTTCTTTTTTTATATTACATTTTATGGGTAATTGGTTTTCCTATCATTAGATTCTTTGACTTTACCTTATCAGTCTACAGTTAGTCATCACTCATATTTTTAAATATGCACTTTCTCACCATCCTCAGTTTCAAAGTCAGTGAAACAGAGTTCAGAGCCCTTGGATGTAATCAGGATCTCTCCGTTAAGGGTAAAAATCATAGACTTGTCCTCCATGTTGATCATGCAGCCAACTACATCTCCAGCATGCCAGCAGCGCCCAAACAATCTGCTACCCATGTTCAAACAGTGGCCCTGTGTGCATCACATGAAGTAACAGACTTAAAAATGAAGATGACATCGTTGGGGAATAATTTAGTTCTGATTGAACACTTACCCTATATCCATCGAATACGAAAGCAAGCTTATCTGTACCAAGCTCCACATCGGGTTTGCATCCAGGCCTGGCCCAGCCTACTCGCATGTCTCCTCCAGTAACAGCTTCAAATTCAAAGTACCACTTTCCAGTCTTCACTGCATATGTCCTTTCCACTCTGAAGAAGCGGATCTTATCAATACTGAGTCGTTCAACCACTTGGCCTTCAAAGTCAAAGGCCGTGCCAGATAGTGGACAGAAATAGAAACAAACACAAGACACCATTAATTTGTAAATTATTGTAATTGCCTTATGGTTGGAATTAAACTCTTCACGCCCCGTTTTCTCTTTCTACTTAAATAAATAAAGAGGCAAAATTGATATATTGCAAAGTCAAATGAAAATAGACATATTGTAATTAAAAAGACTTTTTACAAAAAAAAAAACTCAGCAACAGTATACTGAAAAGCAAAGGTGAGACTCACCACCTTCCTGGTCTGAAGGCTCTATGTTGTATCCATAACCAATCATGGTGCGGATAGCCTCCCGCAGACTGTCCCTGTTGGACTTCTTGGTACGCTCATCCAGTAGCACATAGGGAACCAGACGAGGGTTACGCTTACTCTTCAGATCCTATGTAGAAAATGTAAAGGAGTCTTTTTTGCATGTGTTTAATTAGTTAATTTTACAGACACCAATAGCTGTCTCATTAGTCTTATGTTACTGACAGTTGGTCAGTCATAAATAGTGTGTTGTGATAACTTTCTTGCCAGATCTATTTACTTTTCTATATTTATCAAAGTTAGACAATTCTTACTTTGGGGTTAAAACTGCTCACTATTTTCTATTTTCCTATTTTCATTTCTCATTTTCACTTAATCCCTATGTGAGCCATGACACAATAATGTATGATTGAAAAAAATGTAGCAGTACAAATACAAATATTTGATGACTTATAATGGATTTTTATAGCTGAAGGAGTAAAACTTATGTTATTGTTCAAAGGTTGAAATTCATACCATCAGAATTCAAATACAGTTATTTCATTCTTAAACTTCTTAAACATCATTTAATAATATAATGTTCAATTTCTGTGAAACAAGTCCTCTTTTTTGTTTTAAGTAACATTCTAATTGTTAACCATAAACATGAAAATGATAAAATAAACCATTTAAGTAAAACAAAACAGTTTTCCTGAAATAATTCAATATTGTATGAATTTTCTATTTTATAATTTTTTACTGGAATATTTTAACTGTAACAAAATACCTTGCTATGATTTTACCAAACGTACATGAAGAAGTTGTTATTCAAACAGAATTTTACTCAAGATCTTATTTAATGTGTGTTTTAAATCGTCTTTTGTTTCATTAGATGTTTTATCCAAATTATTCAATTCATGTCTCTCAACTTTTATGCTAAGGATTAGTCAGACACTCTTTTCTGTTTTAAAGATAAGTAATAAAAAGCAAAATCTACTCACTTGCTTAGCAAATGCAGTGTGTACATGGTCTTAGCACTTATTGTTTTTCATAAAATTCAATTGTTTTCTGTGCAACATGTTTAGCCAAAAGCAGTACCGTCCTGTGCACTGAAATGTTTTATAGCAAACACAAAATATCAGGCCCAGAAGCACATCATCTAAGACAATACCTATAACTGGGTTAAATAAAAAATGAAATTGGGACAAAAATCTGCTTTTCAGAAGGAAAATGTTAAAAAAAAATGCAAACCTGCTGAATGCCATAGGTCCATCCCTGCTTGATGCGATCTTTTGCCCACACATTGTGTGCATTCTCTGCTAGTTTGTCCACCAGCAGCTCCTGACCTGGCGTCAGTTTGATGTCAGACAGGTCCAAAGGGGATGGTTTATAGCTGTTGGACATCATGTAGCTACAACGGAAAGAAACATGGAGTTACCCTACTTCAGATATAAATCTGTAGCACAGGGGGATATATTTTTTCTAGATATTTACCATCAGTTGTATATTTTAGCAACAGAACAGAATTTTAAATTAACTTTAATATATCTTTTTTGCCTTAAATGTTTGGAAATACTTAGCATGTCTCATGCAAAATGTCCTAAGATGCAGTTTATATCATCATTTCAACTAAGCAACCAGTTCTTTGTGCTTTTAAAATTGTGGAACTTACTTCTTGGGTAACTTAATTTTTTTCAGGGAGTCCTCTGCATTTGGATTCACCTGAACAATGCGGCATCCTAATGCTAGCAGGGTCCTATGGAAAAACAAGCAAACAAAAATGTAAGTTTGTCTGCAGATGTTCATTTCATTAACAGTTTAACATCATTACTGATGAGGCTGCCCATCTTAACAAAAATTAAGAAAGATCACTGATTCACTTAGAATAAATCCTAAACAATCCTCCGTAAATGAGGGAAGGTGCACTTTACAGTCATTCTTCACCTCTTCTGACCCTTTCTGCATTATGGGCAGGACATTTTACTGTAGAAGATCAGGCTGAATGACATTATATTTGTCAGGCTATTTAAGAAACATTTTAATGAGCAAGGTGTAAAGTATCAAAGCAAAACTTCCATCATCAAATATCGCTGCGCTTAGAGCAGCAAGCAAGATGTTTGTGTGCAATCTCTAAAATACAGTAGACATACATATATACCTAATTTATAGCTGAAAATATTAAGACTAGTTAAACTTAGACTCCTTTGTCAAATTAGAAAGACAAACATCAATGCATTTCTTGTGTTTTTTATGAAACAAACACAGTAGTGCATAATTGTGAAGTAGTAGGAAAATTGGAAAGGATATATTTGGATGATACTCATGCGGTTTGCTGTAGTTCATGGCAGGTAAATTGGCAGTTTGAATTATCTTTCTCTTACTATATGTCTATCATTTTGAAATAACAAAGAACAAAACTTCAAACATAAGTAGACAGAATTTTACAGATAAACCTTAACTTACTTTAGAGTTTCTGTTGACATCTGCAGGTTGTAGTTCTTCTCTGTCTCTGGCAGCTTGCAGAAATCAACAAGGCATGGATGCTGTCGTTTGTTATCATCTCTTATCTGTGGGGATAAAAACATGTCAGAGTTTGTGCATTTTCATCACTGTTACTCATGATTAACAACATCTATTTACAACGTATTAAAGGAATGTAAATAAATGTAAATGGAAACTATATCCTTGTAAGTCACTGTGAACTAACAAGGGCGCGGGCATGAGGCCTAAGTTAGGGGTGCAACTGCTTGCAGTGAAAACGCATTCTTCTGTAGTGGACATGTTATGGAAGAGGAACAAGGGAGCATGTTTTCTTTAGGGAGAGGAATAGGGGGTGTGCGGCTGGAACACTAAGCGCTTCAATGTATCATTAAATGCTACAATTTATGCCAAATAATCCCTTTGGCAATGCTGCTCATTAAAGGCAACATGACAACAGTGAGTATTTGCTAAGAAAACATGCAAAGAATATGTATAAATATGAACAGTAAAAAAAACAAGTTTTGTATTTTGCATTGCGCAAAGACTATCGAAAAGACAGACTCAATTTGGTTTCTTTGGCTCTTGGTCACTTCAGTGTTTTTCCAGGTAATGACATTTTGTGGCTTATTCACAGGGAAGTCTTAATGAAGTTTTGTTTGGCATGTTATTTGCACAATTTTGCACTGCAGAATGTAAAAATTAGTGCTTGACATGTTATGTATGAACGTTATTACTTGAGTTGTTTCCTATCAGCAGTAGAAAACTAAACAAAAACTCTTAGCTTAACAAACCTTACATGTTAACATTTCTGAAAAAAATGAAAAACATCTGGATATTGCAAATTAATCACAAATTCTTCCGAGCATGATGTCCAATTAACATTTCAAATTCTACTTCACATTAGCTTATATAAAATGTGCAAATAACAGCATTCAGTTGTTACAGAAAACAAATTAACATGACAGAATTTGTTTTCTACTTAAACAACATAGAAAGGATTCATGTATCAGGTGTATTTAGTTTTGATAAAATCATTCCTAGGTAATATAGGAATATGCATTCACCAGAATTTTGCTATGTTATGCTTGATCAGTATCAATCTCTGATCGGCCAGTTGAAAGCAATGCACTTACTAATGTCGAGGTAGTACTGCAGCTTTTTTTGTGTTAAGCAAACCAGTGTATAAACCTGTGCAAATATGTAACGTTGGAAAAAATATGTAACATGTTAAACTATTTCTCCATTTAATCAACATTCAAACAGGTTTGTTTATTAACTGTTTTGATTGTTGGGAGTTTTCTTTAAAAAAAATAATAAACTAGACTTTAATTTTGGATTGTCACACTGGAAATACTCTTTCTTTATATAGGTGAAGCAATAAGTGATGACTTACACCAAAACACACATAACAACAGGTTTACAATCTATGAACAAACTGGGCTGAAGCATCTACATGGCAGATATGGAAAGCAATGGACATAAATAAAATGACTGATCTTTTTCCACTTACCCTCTTTTTTAGGAGTGAACAGCAAATTATAGAAGAGAAAGCAAGATGACGTACAGGCTTTTTGATGTTATTACTTCCTAAAAGTAATGTTTTTTGTTCATTTTACTTAGTCTTTTTTTCTTCCTTTTTTAAAATATGCAATACGGATGTTAATCTCTTGACAAATGTGAAAGAAATGCATGGAGCATGCTTTTTATCTTTCAAAGTGATAAACTGGAGAAAATACTGGAACAAATGTCTTACCTTGCCGTAAGTCCACCCCAGTTCAATCTTATTCATGCCCCACAGTTCATGTATGTTTTCAGCCAGCTTGTCCCGTACTTTCTCCAAATGAGGTGGCATGAAAACCTTAAGCAGAGAAATTAATTTTGAACTATTCTTGAAGTGAATGAGGCTTCAAACTGATATCTTCAGCTTACCTGGCTAGTCTCCACAGGAGTGGGAATAAAGGAGGCCTGTGAGGTGAACTGGGTGTTTCCAAGCAGATCACGAACTCCCTCAACATCTCTTTTATACTCTTTTACCGGCTCTACCTTCATTTTCTCCTTTGGCAGCAGAGCCTCATAGCAGGGAGCATAACTTGACGGGGGCAGGAACTTAAAGTCACCATGACGGCCACCCAACAGGAAGCGTACTCTTGAAATAATAAAAAATAAATAAATAAATTATCTTGTATTAAAGAAAAAAGAGCTGTAAGATAATGTTTTTTTGTTTTTGTTTTTTGTTTTGTTTTATATAAACATATAAAAAAATATTCCAATTAACATGACAGAACACAGCAACAACACCGAAAGGATGCAACATCTCCTAAGCCCATTTCTACTAGGGACTGAGAGAAAACCAAAAAAAACTTCACCTCAAGGGGCTTCCAAAAATAGCTTCTCGAGTACTAGGGATGACGTCACCAAGCCTTACTCTGACTGCAGCCCTCAGGTAATGAGCAGAGTTATGACTGTTGCTTCTCATGTTCCAGTCCACGTTCAGTGGGTCACTTCCAGGCACAAACTTATAGGTGTCTACCTAATTGTCTGTGTTCACACTAGCATTGTAGATATGTAAATAAACAATATTAATCAGTATCAATCAGTCAACTCTTATTTTATTTTGGAGGATTTGATGCTCTTTTAATTTTTAACATGCATATTTCAAGAACAGGGTCAAAACAGGCTCCTTTGTAGTAACTGTGTGGGCTCAGACAAAGCATTAAGATTATTTAAACTTTATTTCTGAATATTAATATAAAGGTCTGGAGATTATTTTCAATGATTGAACTTACTTTCTTCGAGCCAGACTCTACCCTCAATAGCCTGGATCACATGACTGCATAGTTTCCATAAATTCTTTGGACAGCCAATAATTACTTTATACAAACAACAGGAGGGAAAATGATCAATTATTTAGAGAACCAATGTTAGATTCAAAAGTCAGCACCAGAAATAAGTGCTCTGCAATTAGGTATTGATATAGTTGATATCTACTGCTTCTGTGAGTTTTAATCTGGTCAGCAGTCATTATGTGGTCAGCATGGGCATTGATATTTATTCTGTTTTATTGATTTTAGTCGTACTGTGCATGGATCATGGTTTTCTCATAAGAAATATTTTATTGTTTTTGTCCAAGATGTTTCCAAAGTATCATAACTATTCTGAAATTGTGCCTATGTCAGAGACTGGCATAAACATAACAATACTTCCTCTGTTTTCATTAAGAAATTTCCGGAAAACATGGCTCAATTATAACTTGATGCAGATGTAAATATTGGAACAATAAATTGAACGTGAAATCTAGACAATTATCAAAAGCTTTTAACTAATTTGTTTGAGCCTCCAAAAAGGGTTATTTGTTATTGATATTAGATACATTTTCACACCTTTTAAAGCCCCTTAGTCTTACGGTTTTGGTTCTGTTAAAGTTTTTTATCTGAGTTTTCATTGGTCTTATTTCCATTTTTGTGTTCTAGTTTTTAGTTGTATTTGAGTTCTTAGATATTTCTTGTTTGCCCTCTTGTGTCAGTCTCTTTTTCCCTAGCTCCCTTCTTGCCTCTGTTCACACCTGCTCCCAATCTGCTAATTTGCCTGGTATTTGTTTCTCTCTCCCATACAGTATTTCCTCCTTATGTTCAGTCACTCTTTGCTGGTTTGTTGTCATTTTTTTGCCCCCTTGTTAGTATTCCTGGTTCTCAGTTTTTGTGTATTTTCTGGATTTATGTTTTGGTTTTTTGCTTCTGTTGAACTTTTGGTTAATTAAATCTTCAAGAAACCACTTTAGCCTTTGTGTCTGCATTTGGGTCCTGTCAAACCTCCAACCGACCGTGACACTTAGAATTTTTCCAGAGTTTCTTTTGAACTTTGGGTGCTGCTTGAATAATCAACTAAATTAACATACTACGTACTGTAGGTACAATCAGTGATTAATCCCTTTGAGGGTTTTTTTCTCAGGCTTTGTAGGTTCTAGGGAAAACATCAAGGTCTCTGTCAAGAAGAATATATTCAACTTTAAACTCTGAGCAGAAGGAAAAAAAACTCACTTGACCCCTGCAGAGAAGCTGACAACAGGAAAAAAGAGTCCGTCTGTGTTAAAGTTTTCAAACATGCCCTGGACCGGCTGCCCGTTTATCCTGAAGGAGATGCTGGGAGCTCCCAAGTCTAGACAACAGCTGACCACATCTTCTGAAGTCAAGATATGTTGGTTCACAGAGGCAACAGCCCGCGGGATACGACCTGTTCGGGAGGCACATTCATGAATGTGTGAATGTGGAACTGTTGAACGGTGCTGGCAGAGACAAGATCTTTTGAACAGACACAGGATGGAGCACATTAACACGCCTCTACACACAGTCTGGGCAAGGAAATTCCTCCTGCGAGGTACTGACTGTCTGTGTGTAACCTGGCTGATTCCCAGGCATACTGCTCATCTTTCATTTGTTAGGTTAGAACTGCAGTTAACACACATTTTCACACATTTCTTCCTCTCCTCTCACTCACCTGACCAGAGGTGAAGGCCATCAAAGCCATACGAGTAGAGGTCATCCCCAACTCCATTGCCCCCCCAGCCCTCCCCTCCTCCAGGATAGGGTGCATAACCTTTGCTGTTTGCCCAGCCCACTCTCAGGTGGGAGGGCTCGCTGGTCACAAAGTGGTCCACCTGGTCAATCATCAGTTCGTAATACCACTTTTTATACTGAGCAGAGCCCTCACTGACTCCCAGGAAGATGTTTGGTCTCATGCTGTAAATGAAGAAGTAAGTGAAGGATATTGTCAAGACTACAGCATATGAAATTTAATCAACAATGATAATGAAAATCAAGTAAAAAATGAGTGCATATGGTAGCAGTATTGCTTTGAAATACATATAAATAAAATCTGCAAGCGTAATAATGGGTGTCGTTAAGTTTTAAGATAGAAGTTTAGATTTTTCAAGTCTGTTAACTCCTATTAGGCCTATATTTCTGCTGTTGCACTGTACAGTTCTATTTTCTCACGGTGATGCCTTGTGTTTACTAATGTGGCACTAGCTAAAGTTGGACATTATGATGGTACAACTCTGATTGATAAGAAAAGTCAGATGCTCGTAATTGGTATTATTGAATGGTGTAAAGCATGGGTAACCAATTCAAAATCAACGAGGTCCGAATGAAGAAAATCATCAACCAGTAAAGGTCCGGAGACATTTATAATTATAATCTGTTACTTTAAACAGAATTTAACACTGAAATAAAAAGCAGTTTTTTATGCATCCATGTTATATATTGAATTTTTAATAAAAGCATATTTAAAAAAAGGAAATATTTGTGTTTTTTGAAGTAGAGAACAACAATCGTTCAGTTCGGTATATAGACAATTTCCTTATTCACATATTCCATATAACACCTGAACTGACCGTTTGTTTTTTTTCTTTTTTTATGGCTTAATGAGAGAAGTGGGCCTTAGGTTGGCCTGCAAGGCTTTTAAACCCCAGGTTTAAATGGCGACAAAGCCATTCACAAGCACATATCAAGGTGCTCATTCGTGAGCCTGGATCAATATTTATTTTTGATTATATGTATGGTGGAGAATCCTGCTTCACAGCAGTAGGTTGAGACAAACATACTCAAATTGTGTAGGGTCATCTTTGAGCACACCATTTCACTTTTCTTTAATCAGTTCACCTTAGTTCTTCCAGCAGTCAACACTTTATCTGCTTTCTTTTTCTCATAATCTTTTCCTTCTTTCCCACTGCCCGGATAGCCAAAGGTTTGCCTGTTGTGTATAAAAGTAGCTTGCAGCAGTGACCCAAGCTGACAGAGCTCATTGGCTAATGTGTATCACATGTAGCCTGGCCCCAGCGCTCCGGACGGCTTTACCATATTAACAGAAGAAGCGGTGTAAGTAACTTATAATTGTAATTTGTAACTTGTAATTTATAAATGTTTTAAATCAGGTTGGGTCCGGATTAGCCAGCAGGTGGGTCCGTATCCGGATCGCGGTCTGCCCTGTACCAGTTTATTTAAAATATTTCCTAAATTAGTTGTGTTTCTTCTTAAACATTGTATTGTTTATTAGGTATCTTGTTTAAAAAAAAAAAAAAATTTAGTCTTTATTTTTGTACTTTTTGTACAAAAAATGAACCTTCACTCCATGAAACTGAATGGAAATTGGATTTTAGAACACTGCAGTTACACCAATAGTCGCCATTATAACACAAGTAAAGCATAACTATTTTATATGAAATGTTAATTTTAGTGCATAGCTAAATTCAATCATTTTTATACCTCTAAATTATGATCATTTCATTCAAATCATTTTTTTAAGGTTTTAAACTTTTGGGAAGGTTCGACTTTGGGGCACTGCCTCAGATTACAGCGATCACTGTACTACATACTGTAGCTAAACCATTTTAGGGAACTGTTGGAAGTTAAAATATCTACAAAAAAATAGAGGTATTTTATGTTTCTATGATTAGTTTCAAAGAAAAAAACTGTTTCATTTATCCAAGATGAACTCAAAAATGAGCTTTCTTCATTTTTTCTCCAGTCTCTACTATATAATCTCGGAGGATGTTGTGTAAGAAAATCCCAATATTCAGTGAGAACTTGTGTTATTACATAAACTGCATTATATATTGATCTGTAGTTAAAACCCTTGCATACGTGGTGGCAGTGAAAGTCTAGAAAAATGACTGTGTTTCAGCTAAATATAACCTGAAATCAATTATTACCAAGATATAACTTCTTAACAAAAAGATGGAGAAGGATGAGTGCTGTAGAAATAGAAGCTTTAGAGACTGGATTTTTGTGGAAAATAAGTGATAAAGGAAGGTAAAAGGTGAAAAACCCTGGGTTAAGAAAATAGTGAATTCCCTACCAAAAAGAGTTGATGGAGATACTGGCATAAAATACAAGCTTCGCTACCCACGACTTGCAAACGGCTGCATTCTGTGTAACCTGTTTGGGAAAATATACTGTACCAGTAGGCTGATTTTTAGTTAAAAAAATTGATTTTTCAACTCTGTAATGTTACTGTAAGTTTTTGAGTATTTGTTTAAGAAATCTTTTGAGAGCAGTTTTATCTTTGATGAAATCTCTGATAAAAACAAACACTTTTTGTGTCTTTAATAAAAGAATGGAGTTTTGGGCTTTAGAACAAAAAGGTTAAAAGGCTTTAAACAATAAAGATTTTTAACATAAGCCAAAGTATGATTACAGCTCATCTATCCTTGTGTATGTTGACTGTATACAATCTCTTGGTTTAAATTGTGGGGAGATCCAAGTTACAATTCCTTTTTTACTTCCCACCACTTTAGATGGACAATTTCTGAGGTAAAGTATCATGACATTGGACGGCATAGTGAATGGACAGTTTTCTTACCTCTGGACATCATTGACCAGCTGGGTTTGCAAAAGCAAATCTCTTTTGGGCAGCAAATGATCACAAATGAGGTTCTGATTGGTTCGCACAGCTACACCATTGCACACACACAGGGAACAGAGCACATCTAGAATCTGTAAACAGCAAAACCAACAGGAAGAGACATATTAAAAGACAAAACACGTTCCTCGAAGCTGAATAAATGTTAACCTAATTTTTTTCTGTTAAGTCAATAAATACATAGACATTCCTATAAATGGCCTGAATTGTGTCGCAAATTACCATCCAGGTTGCTACTCTAGGGGCAGACAGTTTTAATTTAGCCATTGGATAATTACTCCACAGTACTTCTATGAGGTAAACATGCCTAATAACATTCACTTAACAAAAGTGCAGAATTAAATGGCCTGGGAGGCGCAGAAAGGGGTGACAGGCCACTTAATCATTGTCCTTTTTCTTCTGCTTCAGTCGAAAAATGAGACATTCAGGCAGATTTATGTCCTGGCCTGGCCAACTGTCTAATGTGGGGTTTTATCACAATGGTAAACAGTCTTTTTTTATCTGAGGGAGACACCACAACCTAACATCAAATAAACACTCTGCCAGGCAGAGATGGGAAGTAACGAAGTACAAATACTTCGTTACTGTACTCAAGTAGATGTTTCTGATATTTTTTACTTTACTACTTATTTTTATGCCGACTTTTTACTTTACTTTTTTCTACTCCTTACATTTTTACACAAATATCTGTACTTTACGGTGGCTGAGAAGTGCAAAACACATTTACAATTCAAAAACACATTAACAATAAAAAACAAAATAACATTTGAAGAAACAAAATTATATTTTATGAAACAATTTATTTTTGAAAAAAAAGTTACAATTTTTAAAAACACATTTACATTTTAGCAAACAAATTTACATTAACAAATAAACAAAATAACATTTGAAGAAACAAAATTATATTTTATGAAACAAATGTATTTTTGAAAAAAAAAGTTTAAATTTTTAAAAACACATTTACAATTCAAAAACACATTAACAAATAAAAAACAAAATAATATTTGAAGAAACAAAATCATATTTTATGAAACAATTTATTTTTGAAAAAAAAGTTTAAATTTTTAAAAACACGTTTACATTTAAGGAAACAAATTCACATTTTAAATAAGTTAAGATTTTAGGTGAGAGAAAGTTTCATTTTAGAGAAAAAAAATACATTATAGGGAAACAAATTTACATCTAAAAAAAAATTGACCGTTCGGGAACACTTGTACAAGTGCAAAGACAAAACTGCAAGTGGCAAAACACATTTACATAGCCAAAGGAGGAGGTCCTAAGATGGCGGAGTGAGAGGTTGTGTTTTTGCAGGCTCTAAAATACAGTTATTATTTAGCCTTGATTTAACCCAAATTTTGTGCTCTAGCCCTTGCTTTTAAACGTTTTAGGTTTTTTATTCTTAGTTCAATCACTTTTTGAAACCCTGTCAGCCTTCTTACTCCTTTTTTCCGTTTTGCAATTCATCGATGGAAGTTAGCATGTCAGACCACGACTACAATCTATCGGCTCTTCAAGAGGCTTGTGACGAAGATATTATAGAAGAAATTGAATTATTGAAGCTGAAGGAGTGTCCAAATTAATTTACCCGTGCCATTCTGCTTTTATCTCTGGCAAGAATATTAAGAAAGCCAATTCAATAATCTTTCAATTTATCTGGAGAAACAAAACTCACTATTTAAGACGATCTGATCTTATTAAAGATTATGATAAAGGAGGAATTAGAGCATTAGATTTCGCGGCCACGCAATAAGTATAACGTGCGCACGAAATACTACTTCGTGGCCACGCAATAAGTTTAACGTGCGCACGAAATACTTATTAATAATATCAATAAATCCGCCCCTGTTTTCAGGCTTATGTTAACTGTAATGACTTATCTTGGACAGGCTGCTATGTAAACGGGCCTTTAGTCCTTCGTTTAGCTATGCTGCGGTTGTTTACACTACGCCTTTTCCACCTAAAATAGCGTCTTAGCAACAAATGTCACGTGACTGGCGGAGACCGACTGGGTAAGCAAATCGAGCGCGCCTTAGACCTTAGAGAAGGCGCGCTCGATTTGCTTACCCAGTTGTCCAGGAATGATATTAATAGTATTAATAAGTATTTCGTGCGCACGTTAAACTTATTGCGTGGCCACGAAATAGTATTTCGTGCGCACGATAAACTTATTGCGTGGCCACGAAATACTACTTCGTGCGCACGAAATACTACTTCGTGGCCACAATAAAAAAAATTTTTTGACCATGTCATCAGAGGGGCTCCGTATACAAGTGTTTCCGAACGGTCAATTTTTTTTAGATGTAAATTTGTTTCCCTATAATGTATTTTTTTTCTCTAAAATGAAACTTTCTCTCACCTAAAATCTAACTTATTTAAAATGTGAATTTGTTTCCTTAAATGTAAATGTGTTTTTAAAAATTTAAACTTTTTTTTTCAAAAATAAATTGTTTCATAAAATATAATTTTGTTTCTTCAAATTTTATTTTGTTTTTTATTTGTTAATGTGTTTTTGAATTGTAAATGTGTTTTTAAAAATTGAAACTTTTTTTTTTCAAAAATACATTTGTTTCATAAAATATAATTTTGTTTCTTCAAATGTTATTTTGTTTATTTGTTAATGTAAATTTGTTTGCTAAAATGTAAATGTGTTTTTAAAAATTGTAACTTTTTTTTCAAAAATAAATTGTTTCGTAAAATATAATTTTGTTTCTTCAAATGTTATTTTGTTTTTTATTGTTAATGTGTTTTTGAATTGTAAATGTGTTTTGCACTTCTCAGCCACCGTAGTACTTTCTACTCTTTACATTTTAAAAAATTGGCCCGTTACTTTAGTTTTGAATCATTTCAATGGAGTTACCGTTATTATTTTTGACGTCATCAATACCAAATTCAATCTAATTACCGGTAGATGGGAATCTACGTTGCATTTGACGCACCACTACAAGATGAATCGACAGATTCGGTGGTAAATCATTGCAGCTTGGTGGCGGTGGCGTTAGCATAGTAGCATGGACGACGAGATGATTGAAAATGAACACAACGGAGATCTAGTCCTATAGGCAGACATCCATTTAAAATGTAGGCAACGGCATGAAAAAAGTGGTTTCTACTTTTACTTTTATACTTTAAGTAAATTTGCAAGCCTGTACTTTGTTACTTTTACTTGAGTAAAGACGTTTTTCCACTTTTACCAGAGTATTTTTTAACACAAGTATCTGTACTTTTACTCAAGTACGGAAAGTGAGTACTTTTGCCATCTCTGCTGCCAGGTAAGGAGGTTCACTGGTTAAAGTACCTGAAGAGAAGATTAACTCAGCATTATAAGGAACATTTGTTCTGAATAATATGTGAATTGGACTTAGACTTTAGGTAAGGATATAATAAAGATACACCAGGTTATCATATGAAATCCCATTTTAACAGCTGCTGTTACTTGCATGGCTTAAATTGTGTAATCCTATTAAAAAAAAAAAGAAACATCCTACTAATAGATAGAGAACTACAAATACTTAGCTTTATAATAAGGAGTATTAAGATAAAACTTGAATAAATGGGCCTACACAATACAACAACAATTTTTATGTCATTTAGAGGAGCATCTGGTTATCTACTGTTTCACAAAAACAGAGGTGGGAAATACAGGATATGAGATAATAACAGGCTTGACTTTGTATTATCAGTACATATAAAAATGTTCCATTCCTGAAAGGCCAAAACAGGCCAAGGAGGTGCTACTATCTCAAACCAGGTGTACAGTAAGTAATCTAGGAAAGTGTGCATCCACGGCTTTCTTCAAGAGACCGTGGGGTTATTCAGAGAATTTAAGGGGAGTGGTGGCCTAGTGGTTAGAGCATAGAGCTTGGAATCCTGAGGTTCTGAGTTCGAGCACCACTTCCACAGACTGGCACTCTGAATCCCTGAGCAAGACCCTGAACCCCACACTGCTTCCCAGGCGCCGCACAATGGCAGCCCACTGCTCTCCAAGGGGATGGGTTGAATGCATGGTAAATTTCTTCAATGTGAGATCAATAAAGTTCAATTAATTAATCACTAATGCTGTAATGAAAAGGTTGGATGCCCCATCATTTTGATGAAGCTTATGAGGAATTGAAGCAAATCATACTAATGGATGGAAACACTGTCACTTTTTAAAAAAAATCAATAAACAAAATGAAAATTAAAAGCAGTTGGACAAAACTCCAAAGTAGCTTAAATATGATTTTCCAAAATACATCTCTTAACTAAAATCTTCATAATCATACCACTAAAGGACTTGCTTGTCATTTGCTCATATTAACAACTTTAAACTTAAAGCAGTTCTGAAGAACTTTTAGTAGCGGTAAGGTAATGAATCTATTCGTGGTGAAACAATGTCATATGATGATGCTTAAGATCTAGATGCATCGATTTCCGTCTTTTTAAAAAATGGCGGAAGGGGGAAGTGACGTATGCCCTAATGCAGTCAGCATATTTCTAGTTGTTTTGTGTGGCAGGGTTACTGCCAACCTCCTAAAAGGTGCTTACTGCTGGTGAAAGTGACACAGACCCCCTCAGGCAATGACAGAGGTGTCAATCAACTAGCTGTAAGTCGATGTATAATCACATAAGTTATGAAAAGATTTAATGAAGGTTGAAAACTTACTTAGTGTTGAACAGTGCATGTCTTAAAAGTCAATATTGTACCGTGTGTACAGTAAATCTGACAGCTGATTAATTTACATTATTTTTTGTACACATCAAAATTAACAGAGAACAACCGTGGCTGGATTAAAGATGACCTGACAATAGATCAAGATTTAATAGAATAAAATTTTGCAGACTGTTAGCACCTGGATTAAAGGATAATGTAATGTACAACTGACTTAAAAGTGCCAGCCAATGTGCGTTCTGTGTTACTGGTCAACACTAAATGCAGTTTTCTGCATTTAATGATAAACCAAGCTTACTTTAAATCACCTAAAATAACAGATGCCAGTGGGATCTAAATTAAAAATCCAACTTCAGGCATGGCCGTGGTGCAGGGGTTAAATGTGCAACCCATGTATGCCTTAGTGCTCAAAAAGGCTAACACAGGTGTGACTCCCACCTGCTAACCGTTGCCATACTGTATGTCTTCCCTCTCTCTGCAATCCTATTTCCTGTCTGCATACTTAAAAACGAAACACTAATTCCTAAAAAAAGAAATCCCACTTCAGAGTTTTAAAAGAGAGAAAACCCCAGAACTATGCAGCCTCTGAAGAGATTGCATTGTATTTTACCTTGCATTTACTTGTATGTCAACAATAAACCCTAGAGGGGTATTATATAGTGCAATAATATCCCACAGCAGCACTACCCCAGTATGGTTGAAAATGCTTACCTTGTGGTTGCGACCATGTTTGTAGAGCAGTGATATGATAGACTTAATGTGTCCTTTCTGGATGATATTAAGTGCCTCGGGGCTCTCGATTAGGATGCAGTGCAGAACTTCTAAGATGCCTACACAGCCACAAAATTCATCAATTAATTAACACTAGCTAAAGGGAAAGACAAAGCATTGGACATTTTTCAAAAAGACAACATGCATGGATCAATAGCTAACATAAAAGCTAACAACAGCTGAGAGGTTCATTAAAGGAAGAGAACTTGACTCAGCTATTGTACATTTTATAGTTTTTTTTTACTCTCATAGGAAAGAGATTTTACCTGAAGAAGACTCTAATCTTTCCAACTTGCTCACCAGCCAATCCAAATTGTTTGAGAACTGGGTACAGTTGTTCCGGTTTCCTCTGATTAGTGCCGCTATAAGTCAAAAGAGGTGTGGGTGAGTGAAACCTTGCATTAGGGAAAAAACAGGTGTGAAGGGTCCAATTTAGCACTAATGTGATACCTTATGTAATATAACAAGGTCATCCAAATAGAGACGCCTTAAATTAATGCCAAAACCATTTAAGTAAGAGGTTGTGCTTTGACATTCTTATACATATTAATTTCTAAAGGTGTTTAAGGTATACAAAAGAGGTAGGGAAAGGAGAAGACATCAACACTTGGCTGAGAAATAAACCCACCTAATGAATGACCTAGCTGCAAAAGACAGGGTCATGGGATGCAGACAGACAAGGAAGAAAGGAAGAGGACGTCTTAAATCCAGTTAGCGCTGCGCTACATCAGATGTGTGGAGGAGTGAACAGGGACGTGAGAGAGGGAGACGTGGCTGGAAGACTAATTTCACTCAGGAGGGGAAATCAGTATTAATATGAGCATGAAGGACATTCTTGAAGGGTAGAAGGGCTTCAGTTTGAGATGATGAAAGATAAACTTTGCATAAGGTAGAAGGATGTACAGACATTAACCAAGAGTAAAAATATGCAATATGCATCCTGGACCGGTTTGGTGAGGTAATATGTCATGGATAGCTTATTACAGAGTGTGAAAGAGGTTAAGAGTTATGGTCGAACATGAGAGCTGATGACACGGGGTCATGTGGAAAACATGGCAAGAGCAAACAATACATAATAAAAGACAAGATAATGATAAAAATTGACATTCACTGATGACATGCAGGTCCTCTGTGTGGTTTCTGTGTGCAAAACAGTGTGCTATGTTTGGAAGCACACAGCATCTTTCTGTCTAGAGGGCATATCACTTTCAGGTGTTACTCCCGAGATGCACTGATGAGAGCTTTGTCCGACTGGCCTCTTTTTTGTCAATTTTTGTAAAGAAACAACAAGCTGAGTCAGATTTTTCCTTAGAGCTGCCATAAAAGAAAAAATAATATTTTGGTCTGGTTATCCTGCTATCATCAGCCTTCATTTGTTTATATTTGCATCAGGGGAAGTTTTTCCCTATTTTATTTGTAATTAATTCAAAAATGACTAATTACAGGGATCACATTTTAAACAGGCTTTCACATTTCATATGAGCCATATGTACAATTAGAAAGCTTTCCTCATGTGTACTGTGAAAGGAATGAGGAATGCCAAGATTTAAATACTCAGAAACTGAGAAGATTCTATTGACCTGTGCAAGAATTTTGGTTACTTTGAGTGTGTAGAAAGCTTGACAAAAAATGATTAATTGATTGATTGATTGACTGATCAATTGATTAATTGATCGATTGATTAATGGGAAAAATGATCAAAGATAACATGTATTTTTGTTTTTAGTTGAGCATTCTTGTAATCTGCTTTTGTTTTATCTTTCTATTATGTTCTTATATCATGATAAAAGCAGTCATGTTTTAACATAAGATACAAAAGATACAGTTTGCACTTAGATGTTAGATATATCTGACATCCATTTGAAACTTATGTTGAAACTATTTAATGTTTTGTCCTCTTTACTCACAACCGGATTAAGACAAAAAGTGTGCTCTTTTTATGCACTTTATGGTTATAGAAATGGTGGATTTCTGAGTTTCTCATGGGCCAGTCAACAGTCAGGGTCAAAAAAACATTTTTCCTAAATTCATCTCTACTCAAACAATCAGTTCGTTAGTACGAAGGTGATTTTTTTTTTTTCTTTTTTTTTTTGAGAACATGTCTGTATGTACAGTAATTGAAGTGTCTGTAAAGTTCTTATTAGCTGTTAGAACAGCAGGGAAACAATCTTTACAGTTACCCTATTTCTCAGCAACTCATATCTAATATACAAACATTTAATTTTCTTTGGGATTAATAAAGTATTTTTGAAATGAATTGAATCTCTGAGACTTATTACAGTAAAGACCGACTCTAAGTATGCTTATACGTAGATACTATATAAATTTGTGTGTATGAGGGACAATTGGGACCAGCTCTTACCCAGCAGCTCATACAGCAGGTTAAGAATGTCTTTCCAAGCTGCTCCTGCCTCTGACCCAGCACACTCCCCAAAATGGGCCGCACTGTTATAGACGTTTAGCCGGTCAATGCAGTTGGACACAAGGGTCAGCATGCCCTAAGAAACACACAGAAATCAAAGACATTAAAACAACTATAGCACACATAATAGTAAAATGTCTCATTTGTTTTTCCACTTGTGTAATTAATGTTATTGGTGTATCTCCATCATCTTTTATCTAAACTATAAAGTTAAGTTACAATCAGCTCCTCCAGAATCCTGTAAAGATTAAGCTATGTGGTGAGGTTTGTTTACATAGATAATTTTACAGATAGTATTTCATAAGTCTGTGTAGGGTATAGATTTCAATAGACTTAAGATAATAAATATACCCGTTAATGGGCGATCTCGCAATCGCTAGTTTGTTGGCTCTGCGCTGCCGTAGCGCAAAGATGTCTGCCTCCATGGCTGCGAGACCCGCTCCTATGTAATTATAAATAACGAATTCTAAGGCAACGCAAATATTAAGGTTAAGAGGCTGAGCTCGTAGATGATGATAAATAACATAGTTATGTATAATATATTACATTTCTGACTGTATATCCCTGTAATTATTACACACTGTAGCTTTAATAAAGAGAGATAAAGATATGGATATTCCTGAAAGGCCCATGTTGCGTCACTAAAATACTTCAAGACATACAGGAGTGCTTTGAAGAGGTACAAGTATGGCTGCCGTTGTTACATATACATTATCAATCCAGCTTTCTGAGCTAAGGAAAGTTCTTCTAATCAAAAACAGATAGGATTGAAACAAAGACATCCCTCAAGTTACATTCCTCAGCTCAATCTGTCTAATACTGGGGTATCCCTAGGTCAAATGAGAGCAGTTAGGTTTGTCCCAGTATCTCCAACCAGTAGGATATACTAGGAAGACCTCTAAATGGAAGCATCCTATAGGAATCATGGCAAGATCCTTAAATCCTCTTAGCAGACTCCCTTTGATGTGGATGAGCATCAGCTCTTATTCGAGGAATCCTATGGAGGAAACAAACATCAGCCTCGTTTATCCAAGGTCTTGTTCTTTCTCTTAGTTAAGTTAAATCTCGTGAGCATAGGTGAGGGTCGTGATGTGGAAAGGATCAATAACCCTGGACTCAGCTAAGTAAAACTGAGATCTCTGCATCTCCCTGTCCATTCTACCATCATTTGTGAACAAACCTCGAAGGACTCCCCCCTTTTAATGCAGGGACTGACTCTGAGGCTTAGTAGTAGTCTCCCTTTTTCCAGATAAAAACTACAACTATAGACCTGAAACAGCTAGAGCTCATTTAAACTACTTTACACTTTGTTGCAAAAGATTCCAGTGTGTGTTCAGTATCATAAAACGTACACATAACAAACAGAGGAGAAAAAAGCTCTAGAAAATACCCTAAGAGCTAATAAAATTCCATAAAAAGTTATACAATACAGTATGGCACATCCTTAAAGATAATTTGGGAAAGACACTGATGAAAGATTAGAGGTGTAAAGTACCCTTAGAAATAAAAAAAATGTGTGCATATAAATAATATGTAAATAAAATCTATTGTCACCAGGGATCTTTTTGTTTCTATGTGATCTTTTTTATATGTGTTTGTGAGAAGTGGGGGGGTGTTTGTGTGTGCCATTGGCTGGGTAGACCACCTACCAGTTTTATTATGAAATGTCCTTTAATGTTGCTACACCATTCAGTAAGAACTTCAGAAAATAATTTAAATTTTTGCCATCAAATACTTGACAGCAGTTTGCAAAACCTTTTATTTATTTATTTATTTATTTATTTATTTATTTATTTATTTATTTATTTATTTATTTATTTATTTATTTATTTATGTATATATTGTTTTATGTTGAATGACCTCCAAATATAACTTGTTCAAATATTAAGAGCTTTCTTATCAAAGACAAGCTCTCATTAATTAGTTGTAGAGCTTCAACTGGGAAATCTGTTTCAAAATTTCCATTAGTGCAACACTATCATAGTTGCAGCTCTCTTTCCTCCAAAGTGTCAAACTGATTTATGCCACAGAGAATTATCTACAGTAATCTCATATGCAAAACTGAGTGTGTTAAGAGGACTAAATGGAAATCTCAGATGATTTATAATGGCATCAAAAACTGTGAGTCAGCTTTGTACATCGACCAATTAACTTCCAGAAGGCAATATATCAGGAACCACACAGAGGCTCCTATTTTATCATATTATGCTTAAAAGAATAAAAGGTTCAAACCTGCCGAAATATGATATGGTGCTATTTTAGGATATGGTATTTAATTAAATCTAATCTCCTTACAATTAGGTCATGTTATTAAAAGCATTGTAGAACAAATAAAATTTGGATGTTTGACGTCATACAAATTCTCAATATACCAGCTGGTATAATGTATATTTGATAAAAGTAATTTGGGCTGTAGAAGCTTAGCAGCATCAATGTTTCTCATGCTTTCATTGGGGAAACAATGAACAATGAAACTGCTGACACTTTTAGTTGCATTGCCTCTAAATACTGCATAGCAATGATAAATGGCTCCAAAGATCAGCTGCTCTTTATCTCTTTCAAATCTGCAGGTTGCTGGTCACTCTCAGCTTAAATCACAGAAATTGCTGCTTTTTAGTCATAGTTATGCTTAATTCCACATAAAATTAGGCAGTAGCTATAATGCAGAGATACACATTTGGTCCAGTTAAATTAAGTTTGCCTACATAACTCTTTAAGAAAAATAAAAAACAAATGAGTTATTATGTTTTTTTTTATTTAATAATAAATAAATTTACGAAAATGTGTTTATTTAGAAAAATAGATTTTTCGTTTAATTCCATAAAAAACACTTCTTAAGGAAATAATATGCAGATTCTGCGCAACACAAAGAAAAGGTCTTTGTTTTCATTATACATAAATATGTATAATAAAAAACCATGAAGTCAATAAAAGTCCATTACAAAAACAAAAAATAAAAAAGCAATAAAAAAAAGAAAAAGCAAGGGGCCAAAAAAATCACTAAATATTTTGTAAAATGTATTTCATATTTACAGATATGCTTTGTCTTGTTGACTTCATGAAAGATGCTGGTAGCTACCAGTTTATAAATGCATGGTTGAGCTTTTAGTTCATCACAAATCCACTGTGAAATAAGTGGTTTGCTTTATTAACCTTAGAGTGTTGCTAGGGTTCGGAAAATTTAGAGTTAAAACAACAACAGGGCTATATAACCGAATGGTACTGTTGATCTCTTGTGGGCTGTATTGGAGCATTTATTTTTTTTTTGACAACAGCCTCAATTCTAGAGGTTCTTGCCTCTGTTAAGAAGTCATATTCGATGAACCGGCTCAAGCTTCTGTAATGGTAACACTCACTTCCTGTTTGAAGAGATTCTGTCTGTTCTTGAGTGAACGCAGCTTTATCTGCCTCTCCTCATGCTCCAGCTCGACATCAGGGAGTTGGAAATAGGTGATGAGGTCGTTGAGTGTTTGGAGCACCTCCTCGACAGGCAACGCTACAAGGGTTCTGTTTTTAACGCTCAGGCAGTCAAGGTCTCTGGGATGGAGAGACAGACGCAAGACAAAATAATTAAAACATTTTTTTTCAGGAAAGAATTATGAGCAATTATAGCTCTAAAATTGGCCTATATATCAAAAAGGCAATAAAAGCAAGCCTACTGGGAGCTATGTGAATGCAAGGAGAGGCTGTGATGACTAACAATGTTTAACCCACAAGTTCATTCATGTTGAATAACTGATTTCCGTTGGTTTGCTAAAAATAGCTTTTGTCGTAAACCTGGGAGGGATGAAGGGGGGGAGTATATGTCACAGCCACAGCAGAGAGGCTGACATCTCCTAATATGTAGGCATGACAGGCACCCAGATGAATGGAGGGGTCTTTGACAAAAAGAAAAAAAATAGGATCCAGTCATGGTGGTTTTTCTTTAAAGCTGGAACTGGGGTCTAGTAAAGTAGTTGCTGGCACATAAGCACAAGGCAGGGCTACTGAGGAAGCAGGCAGTAGCTTTGGTTTCTCACTCAGTCAAAAGGCCTAGAGCATGATTCCAATTGGTGATGTTCAACGTGTGACTGTGTGAAAGACTAAAGGGCTAAAAGAGATCAGTGTTCAGGCTTCAGCTCAACATGGTTCCATCAGGGAGAGGACTTTATTGTCTTTATTAGATGTGCTCTTTCACTGTCAGCTGGTGCTTAAGTTTTCAGCATGTCTTTAATAAAATCTCTCAGAGATGTATAATTTGTTTTAAGTGGATAATTTGATTTAATGGGAAATTTGCATCCCTCCACTCACAGGTGAATTATATTTTGCACACCTGATGAATCGGTTAAAGAGAAGTGTTGTGTTGCGGATGATTCTGGCAGCCCGAGACTCTTCATGTTGACAACGCTGCAGGGTTAACCCGTCATCCATGTGGCCTTCAGAATGAAGACAAGCCTTAAGGGAAAAACATGTGAGCAGATGATATGGAAAAAGGTGGAAAGGAAAGACAGCAAGGAAAAGATTTGTCAAACTGCACTGAGCCTTAATAACAAAACAGTTTAACACAGTAGTATTACAGAGTACATGCAGGGCTTTCTTCAAAACAAGCTGGACTCTTGGCATTTTTTCCATATTAAAAAACAAACAACGCATTTCATACAAATTTAATGACATACACAAAGCAGTAGATGTGACATGGAAGGAAAACTGTAAATGGTTTCATTAAAAAAACAGGAAAAAAAAGAAAAGCATTTAAAAAGTTTAGCACCTCAATAAAAATCCACTGCAATCCACTACTCACTTCAATAAATAAAGTCTAATTATGTTTCATTGTGTTACATAAATGGTACAGCTGTTCTGTGAAGACATCAGTGTTTTTAAAACACCAGATACAGCATCATTAAGACTAACAAGCACAGAACACATACAGTAGGGATAAAGGTGTGGAGATTTTTAGTGTGTGTCGATTATACTATAGTTAGCTTACAGCTTCTGCTCCTACAGCTAGAAACCACCTTTTATGGCTGAAATCTTGGTGTCATGATGGACTCCAACCTGAACCTTCAGAGGCACAGAAAGGCAGTTACTAAGTCCGCCTTACATCACCTGAAGAACATTTCCAGGATTAAAGGAAGCAAGCAGGATCTAGAAAAAACTCTTTCATGTATTTTTAAACAGCAGAATTTATTACTGAAACTGTGTTTTTACAGGTTTTCCTGAAAAGTCCATCAGACAGCTGCAGCTGTTTCAAAATGCTGTTGCCTGTGTTCTCAGTAGAATTAAGAAAGTAGAGCACATCAGCCCGTTTCTGAAGTGCTTCCACTGTTTCCCAGCAGCTCAGAAAATAGAATTAAAAATCCTTCTGTTAGCATATAAATAACCGAATAGATCAGCACTAATATTAAAAGATTTTTGTCAGTGTATCAACCTCCCAGTCCACTCAGGTCTTCTAGTTCCAGTCTACGCCGTACACCCAGAGCACGAACAAGACATGAGCAAACTTCCAGAACGCTAAAAGTGCTGAGAGCCTGAGTTCTATCATTAGTCTGCTCCAATAGTTTTATTTGCTTCACTACCTACTTTTATTCTGCTTTTATTTTCCTTACATTTTATTGTTTAATTCATGTAAAGCACTTTGAATTGTCTCTGTAATGAATTTCGCTTTATAAATAAACTTGCCTTGCCTTGTCTAATACAGTCTTCAAATTATTCACATAACACTCTTCTATCCATTATGTAGAGAATATAAAGAGTAGGAGAGAGAATCACCCTAGATACTGTATGACCATCAATCTAAACTGACCAGGTGCCAAGAATGTCCCTATTTATTAAAAATAAAACTGTCAACAGGTCATGATTGCACTGGAGAAGCAGAAGAGATTCACAATTCAGGTGGACCTCAGTTATCAAGCAGACATCTGGTTGTTATGGACTCTAAAAATCTGGACTTCACAGAAGAGTTGCAAGGAGAAAGCCATTAAAAGTCTAATTTGAAGTTTGCAATAATCCTTGTAGGTGACAAAATAAAATGCACCTATAGGTAAATCCAGCAGTCTGAATTAACTTAGGTGGGAAAAAATTGCAAAAGAGGCCACAGCACCAAAGACTTTGATTTAAAAATGACATTGAAATCTGCATTCTTCAGGGTTACATCTCTTGTGTTTTGCGTTGATCTCTCGCATATGGTAGAATTTGCATAAAATGCATTAATGTTAATGTTTGAGATGAGAGCAAATGTGAGATGGTTTAATACGCAAAAATAGTTTTAGGATGTTACAAAACTAAAATAAATCCCTATAAAGAATCATCAAACCAACTGAGCTCATTGTTTCTGGAGTAATTATCTGCTCCAAAGAAACTTATTTAGAATTTTTTTTCTTTATGTTAACTTCTGAGTGTTCTAATGCTCACTCTTCTCTTGAGCGGACCCAGTCGAGTAGATTTGACATCAGGCGCTTGGTAGGAGAGCCACAGACCTGTGGCTACATGCATGATGAAGCAGAGCGAGTCTCCATATTTTATCTCTGCCACCCCCATACCCTCAATGTCCCGCTTGGGGCTCTGCTCCAGCTTTTCCTGTGTAGGTTCAAACGAGAATGAAGAAAGCTGTCATGTGAAACAGAAAATAACAAATGCATTAAAACAAAAATAAGCATACAGAGCACGCTATTCAGTTCTAAATCAAACCAAACAATCAAAAGCAAAGTGCATTTAACTCATGACAGTTTAATAGTTTATTTGCTGCTATTGTGATCCCATTGTGGCTATAAAGAATGCAGCAAAGAATTGCAGCTAGAGAAATCATTAATATGAATCTTCTTTCATTTCAGTAGTTTGGTATTTGGGAGTATATTAACCAAAGTGAAACACATCAAACTGAAGCAATCAGTTCAATCAATTTGACATGTGCAAAAAAAAAAAAAAAACATTTTGTAGGCCCACGTGATTTAATTCACATGCAATACATACAGAGGAAGACTTAGAAGGTTATATTTTTGCTAATCTGTGGGCGATTGATGTTTTTATGCATTTACTTACCTTTGATGCTCTAAAGCAGAAAGTTGTGGAAACTGTGTCTGACCTCTCCCGGTCCTGCAGGACCAGTCCCCTGTCCTCAGTTAAGGCCAGGTAGTGACCTGTTGTCAGGTGACGAAGTCGAAAAGGCTGTCCCCAGCGGATGTGGCTTCCACTCCAACTGCAAAGCAAATATTCTTGATCTTACCATAGTGTGCATTACAGTGCATACAAGAAGGTTTATAGGACCCATTACTGATTAATATGGCAACAGGCAACTTGCAAACGTAGTTTATTCTTTGAAGTGCAAGAAAGTAACTGCTTACAAAAATAAAATTTTCTAAAAAAATATAAAACGCTGTTGCAAGGTTGCTAATCTTGCGGTATTTTAGGACAGAAAATTACAACAGGTTATAAGATCTTCAACAACAAAAAAAAGAGATAAACGACATGTGACAGGAAAACACGTTTGGAGCAAGAAAATTCTCGGAATTGTTAGTGTTAATGGCAAAAATAATACATGAAAGGAAGAGAAGAAATTATAAATTTATGCAAAACAAATATATTTGAAATAGGAAGGATACTAGAAGATGTAGTACCTAATTCGTAGTGGCTCCAGCCTCCATAAGGACCTTGCCTTGGCACCTGCTTTACCCGTCTCATAGTTGACTATCCTGGGGAAGCCAGAAAGACAAACAGTAAGTTCGACGGCAGATGCCGCCATCAAGGTCATTCATCATACCTCTGAAGAACCTCTCCTCTAAAAGCACTCTTCATTCATCACCCTGATTTCTAAAGATGTTTGGCTCAAACACATAAATACACACTAACATATGGGGTGCATTCACTCTCTCTGACAACAGCACATCATTCTTCAAAAGGAGACATGTGTGCCCTGATATCCCACAGCAACACTGTCGATCAGCGATATATGGGTGACTGAGCCCAGAGATAAAAGGAAACACACATCACCCTGTGGTGTTAGCTCACAGAGTGTTTGATCTGTCTCAAAAAATACAAAATGAGTGTTTAAAGAAAGCTGCTTCTGGTAAATCTCAAGGTCACACTAGGAGAAAAGTCAAAGCTTAAAATGAATTATCCAATCCCACCCCCATGCTTCTCTCCCTCTGTTCTAAAAATAGACATGGTGTGTCCAATAGGTAGAGGCACATCTCACAGCACCTTGTTGAATGTGTGTCTGTGCCATTTTTGTAGTCATGACCCACTTCACAACCTTGATATTGTTTTCTTTCCTTATCTTTGTTTTAATTCTGCCATACTTGCGTCTTCAGGAATCAGTGTTTTTTATGCTGATCAGAGGAAAATAATTAAAAGATGATGAGATCAAGGGTAAGCTCTTGTATGCTAATTTGCCCGTGTTACACACCTCTGCTGTTCCTCACTCTGGTCTGATCCTGGGATGCTCACCACCTCGTCATGACCGTGAAAGAGGCGCAGAACATGGCCCCCCAACAGGTAGCCTTTGGGAGGCAGAGGAACAGACAATAATTTAAAAACAGACTGTTTTTTGAAGCTGCTACAGAATCACAATAAGAACTGAAATAATACTCTTCCTGTGCCAAGGAAATGTATTAATACTCCTTAGAAATCTTCACAATTATAACATTTTAGCAAGACTTAAATGCATTTTCATTAATGTCATAAGATGCATCTACCCAAAGAAGCACATAGTTTTAAAATTAAATGACATGGTCAGATTTTTTTTTCACAAATTAAAAAAATTGTAAAAGGGAATGAATATGTATTTAAACTCCCTAATTAAATACATTGCAAAACTCTACCAGCTTTGCAGAAATAGAGATAGATTTTTTGTCCTCTCTTCTTTCCAGACAGTGTGAGGTTTTATCAATACCATCTGTGAAGATCAGGTATAATGTCAAGCCACTGATACAGTACTTTATTCAGTTTAGGTCTAAACTTTGATGAGGCCATTCAAACAAAGGAATATGCTCAAAACATTGTGTTTAGTTCTGTACAATGAAGTTGTACAGAACGCCCCGCAAAAAAACAACACAAACAAGTTAAATTTAAAAGATTGCCTCATAGCACATAACTTCTATTTTCAGGTATTTTCATGGTTTGATAGAAAACTTTGAATCAATTTGACTGTATGATCTGGTTGAGCTGCAACGTGCCTTGAGATGACTTGTGTTGTGAATTTGGCTCTATATATAAATAAAAAGGAGGAGGAGGAGGAGGAGGTAACAGGTAAATACGAGCACATATGAAGCCGTAATTCTCAGTTAGTGATTTGCAAACATTAAAATGTTCTTTGACTGTTCACAATTGTACATAACTGTTTATTGGTCTATTAAACTGATAAATACATCATAAACAATATCTTTTTATTTTCAGATTTGGTCATAGATGATGCCATTTCTCATAACAAATAGACAAACCATTGGTATAGTTGTAATGTAAACTCAAGGGCTGTGAATACATATGCAAGGCATGGTGTAATGACATTGCACAAATTTATAACATTAATTACAGAGAAGTGAAAGATTACAACTTTTCACATCGCTTTGTTTCAAGTCAATGAATTTAGGACAAGTGTTTCACATTCATGTGGAATAATATATTTCCGGAGAACAATTTAATGAATTAATCATAAGAAATCTCTACCTTCTTCAATGTTGCTACCAGAACAAATGGGGTGGACATTCCACAGAGTCTGCATGAAGGAAGCATCCACCTGGATGTTGCCATTGGAGATGGACAAGTGCTACAGGAGAGAACACATGGAGAACATAATCATTTATGTACTATGATATTATGGGTGGTGCTTTAATCAACAGAAATACACCTGTCTAAAAATGAATGTTTTAGCTAGCTGTTTTGACATTATATTTTTACTAATTCTTAAAAGTTGCATAATTGTTTTTTCATCAATGGAAATAATACAGTTTATTGAATGAGGACAACACTTTATGGATTAGCCTTGTAAACTAGCCCCACCCGCCAGCGGCCAAAATCATTTTTGCCTGCGAGTGGGTCTAGCGTCAATTAATGCCCCAGGCCCTAGATCTGGCCAATCACAACGCAGAGATTTGTTTTGAATTTTTGGACACAAAGCAGGTGGGGTTTTAAGGGCGGGGTGACAAAGCTGTGCAACGCCGGAGAAAACCCAACAAGGAAGATGGCAACAATTATTGAACTATTTATTGATTTTTAAGACTCAGCTTTGGAATCAGTTTTGGAAGGATTAGAATTTGGGTTCTCATTGAAACGTGAGCATGAAGAGGCTCTATGCTCCTTAATCTTTAAGAAGGACATATTCACCATTTAACCGACAGCCGCTTCACTTGCTATTTGTTTACACTCCCCCACCAGCTTTCTTTCGCGCTTACTATGTCACAGTCAGTTGTGCTCATTGGTCAGAGCATTGACCAGTAGGCACAGACATGGTTTGAAAAACAATGGGTTGTTCTCATCAACAATCTTCCCATGTCTCATTCATCGGCGCCAGACTAAATTACACATTTAATCTCACATTTAGTCTGGTTTTTCAGGCTACTTATGGATGTGAAAGGGGTGATTATTTTAAGTAAAACATGTTTTATCATGGAGTACCAAAGAAATCATAAAACCATCCAGATTATCAAACATTTTAAATGTTTTCAATGTTTTGCTTTCAGGCAAATATGATTACATGAATGTGTTTAGCCAAGTCTTTTTGAATCCCTAAAAAACAGCATATTGATGCAGCTGTGTCCTCATCACCCCTGATCTCTGAGGCAGCCTTTAGGTGCTGCCTGTCCTCATTTATTATTATAAATGTGACAGCTGGGATGGATGACCAGATTGACATGGTGACTGTAAGGCAAGAGCGGTCATCTGTCCATGAACCCGCCACATTGGGGGGGTCAGCGGGTGCCTTGCAGCTGGCAACCAACTAATGATCGTTTCAGAAGTCTAAAATCTCATAATCAATGAGGGACAAATGTGACGAGAATGAAATTAGAATAGGCTCATTTAAAAAACAGTCATGTGTCCTAAGATACTAATGCTCCAAGCAAAGCACTTCCAGTGTAGCTTTAAATGTTCCTTATGTATTGAAATTAGTCTTGCAGTGATTGAGAACGGGGAAAAAATAACTCTTAAGACTTAAAAAATAGGCTTTCAAGAGGAGGGCATATTCTATGAATGAGATTTAATGCATGAGATTGAGATTAAGTAGACATTTTGTCAGTTCTAGGTAAGAAGACTCAGTATTTTCCTACTTAGTCATAATAATGCAAACACTGGTGAATAAGTTAAAAGTCTTTAAGGATTAAATGGTAAATATTAAACTTACAAGGTATCGCTCTGAGGATACGCTGACAAGGATGAGGTCATCACCAATGCGCACTTTTTCTCCTTCTGATCTCTGTTTTGAAGCTGGATGGATCGTCCACCAGCAGGCTTCCCCTATAATGCCAAACCCAGTTACACTCACTGACTAATGAAATTCCATCTACATATATATTCATTTCTATAATCACAGGGGACCATGCAAGCTGGTGCCTATCCAAAGCTGTTATTGGACAAAGAGAAGGGCATGTCCTGGTTACCAGTCTAATACAGGGCTACACAAAGACATACCAGCAGCTAAGAACCCCCACTCTATAAAACTATATGCAGAAAGGCACCAGCTAGGATTCAAACCTAGGACTCTTTCTATTGCAAGGCAGCACTGCCAATATCTGACCTCAGTTCACTTCAGTTAACAGATTTTGTTTTATTATTATTATTGCCTGATTCTCATTTTGATCCCTCTTCTTATATGTTTATTTCTATAGCTTTGGTTTAGTCTTATCGATAACAAATAAAGCATTGAAGCTAGGTGGGTAGAATAGTTGTCTTGGAATCCAAAAGTTGTGGGTTTGATTCTAAATTCATCCTACCATACACTGATGCTCCCCTTGGGGGCTCTTAACCCAAAGCTGTCTGCCAATCTGTATATCAGTGAGTAAATGTCTGCCTATTTGTGGTTGCCATTGTGCATGTGTCTCTAATCTAAATGGTTAGAAGTATCCTATGCTTAAAAAGATGATATATGAAATTAGTCTGTCAATAACATAAAATGGATAGGGAGATAATAAAGAAAATATATCTGCTCTAATCTAAATTGATGCAAAATGCATTGAACTAAATATAAAGATGTAGTTAATCTCAGAATATGTGATATATGTGTGTGTATAGTTATATACAGGTGCTGGTCATAAAATTAGAATATCATGAAAAAGTAGATTGATTTCAGTAATTCCATTTAAAAAGTGAAACTTGTATATTATATTCATACATTACATACAAACTCATATATTTCAGATGTTTATTTTGTTTAATTTTGATGATTACAAATGACAACAAATGAAAATCTCAAATTCATCATATCAGAAAATTAGAATATTACTGAAGACCAATAAAAACAAAGGATTTATAGAAATGTTGGCCAACTGAAAAGTATGAACATGAAAAGTATGAGCATTTACAGCACTCAGTATTTAGTTGGGCCTCCTCTGGCCTGTATTACTGCAGCAATGCGGCGTGGCATGGAGTCGATCAGTCTGTGGCACTGCTCAGGTGTTATGATAGCCCAGGTTGCTCTAATAGTGGCTTTTAGCTCTTCTGAATTGTTGGGTCTGGTGTATTGCATCTTCTTCTTCACAATACCCCATAGATTTTCTATGGGGTTAAGGTCAGGAGAGTTTGCTGGCCAATTAAGAACAGGGATACCATGGTCCTTCAACCAGGTACTGGTAGCTTTGGCACTGTGTGCAGGTGCCAAGTCCTGTTGGAAAATGAAATCTGCATCTCCAAAAAGTTGGTCAGCTGCAGGAAGCATGAAGTGCTCTAAAACTTCCTGGTATGTGGCTGCGTTGACCCTGGACCTCAGAAAACACAATGGACCAACACCAGCAGATGACATGGCACCCCAAACCATCACTGACTGTGGAAACTTTACACTGGACTTCAAGCAACGTGGATGAAGTGCCTCTCTTCTTTTCCTCCAGACTCTGGGACCTTGATTTCCAAAGGAAATGCAAAATTTACTTTCATCAGAGAACATGACTTTGGACCACTCACCAGCAGTCCAGTCCTGTTTCTCTTTAGCCCAGGCAAGACGCTTCTGACGCTGTCTGTGGTTCAAGAGTGGCTTGACACAAGGAATGCGACAGCAGAAACCCATGTCTTTCATACGTCTGTGTGTGGTGGTTCTTGAAGCACTCACTCCAGCTGCAGTCCACTCTTTGTGAATCTCCCCCACATTTTTGAATGGGTTTTGTTTCACAATCCTCTCCAGGGTGCGGTTATCTATCTTGCTTGTACACTTTTTTCGACCACATCTTTTCCTTCCCTTCGCCTCTCTATTAATGTGCTTGGACACTGAGCTCTGTGAACAGCCAGCCTCTTTAGCGATGACCTTTTGTGTCTTGCCCTCCTTGTGCAAGGTGTCGATGGTCGTCTTTTGGACAACTGTCAAGTCAGCAGTCTTCCCCATGATTGTGTAGCCTATAGAACTAGACTGAAAGACCATTTAAAGGCTTTTGCAGGTGGTTTGAGTTAATTAGCTGATTAGAGTGTGGCACCAGGGGCCATCAATTTTGAACCTTTTCACAATATTCTAATTTTCTGATATGATGAATTTGAGATTTTCATTTGTTGTCATTTGTAATCATCAAAATTAAACAAAATAAACATCTGAAATATATGAGTTTGTATGTAATGTATGAATATAATATACAAGTTTCACTTTTTAAATGGAATTACTGAAATCAATCTACTTTTTCATGATATTCTAATTTTATGACCAGCACCTGTATGTCCCAATATACATTTCTAGAAACATTTAGAAATATTTTAAATGATAGTCTTATATGTTGTAAAAATAAAGCCCGGAAAGCTAAAAAGGGAGATTAAAGCTTTAAAAAAGTTAAACTCAACTTTAGAGTATGTGAAGAGCAGGTTAGCCTTTGTAATATGTTGTTTTTTTTATAGAGCTACCTCACAAAAATGCTGGTGAAGATTACCCGTCATTCAGGTCATAGTCATTCCAAAAAAGTAAAAAAAAAAAAAATAAAAAAAAAAACACTGGAGTTTGTTTTCCAAGTTTGAAGAGGTTTTGCTTCCCATTCAGGATTTTTTTTTGTTTGTTTGTTTTTTCAAATTTTGAATTGAAAATGCTTTCTGGATGGGAAGTAAAATGTCTTCAAACTTGGAAAACAAAGTCCAGTGAATGTTTTTTTTTTTTTTTTGTTTTTTTTTTTTTTTTGGACCCTCTCTAAAATATTAGAAATGTTTAAATATATCCAGGACTGTTATAACATTACATTCTGCTCAGGTATTGTTACCCATGGAGACAATCTTTTAATGTCACAATGGAATACTGCTCATTAAAATACTGCACAGAGCAAAATGAACAGCAGCAGCAAGGGAAAAGGAAAACAAGTATCATTATATCACACAAGTTTTAAATATGCAACCCATATGTAATCATTGTCACAACAGAGGCCTCTTTTAAGTCTACAGCGACCCTAAGAGAATAATAACTGAAGCCACAAAAACTAGTCATAAGCAAATAATGAGGGGAAGAGATGGGCACCAGAGAAAATTACGCTAAAGTCACCAGACAGAGATTAAAACCAAGAGAAAACAACAGAAATTGAAATAAAAAAGCATGAAAGGAAAACCTTTGCAACGTTTTTTCTACCTGTTGAATCCTCCTGGAGGCCAACATCAAAGGACAGCTTATCTGTCTGGGACCTGGATGTCTTCAAACATGCCAAGTACTGTAGGCAAAACACTTTGAGTCACAAAGGATATCACACACAGGGGGTAATATTTAATGTGTTTCTATAGCTGAGGATAAAAATCATAAGCTTTATTGAAATATTTATGTCAATTGTGATTGATCTCTAACCATAGAGCTGAAAGAATGCCGCAAGAGGATGGCATGGCCGTAGAGCAGAGTCTTATGTCCACCGCTGTGCGCTGCCTGCAGACATAAATCAGACACACAAAGAAACACAAATACAGTTTAGAAAAAGCTCCTCCTCAAGTAATCCTAGTGGTCTTTCCTCCAGCAGCTCCCATCTTCATCCAACCATTACCATTGGTTCTTGAAGCTCTTGTTGTCAGGCAGGGTGACTATTGGCTGCATTGGTATCCATTATCTCAACATTAAAGTCATGCACTCTGATGCGGCCACAAGATTGTGCCACTGGTTCCTGTATCCGCACGCAAACTGGATACGGAGTCATCTTTCCCAACTACAAACTTGCGGGAAGGATGCACATTTTTAATGAGCTGTAGATGACATGTCAGTGTTAGCAATTGCTAATTCTCAAAGTTTTCAGTATTGGTTTTAAATGTAAAAGGATAAAGCTAAAAACTCTATTGGGGAAGATGCAAATGGGGATAATGAGGGGAGATTGTTAATTTCTTTTGGTTTGTTGTTTTGGCCAGCAACCTCTATCTTACTCACCTTTCTTATGAGCCTCTAGGAAGCATTAAAGTAAGAAAGAGTGTCAATGTTAAAAGAGACTTATGGATCTCCTTTATCTTGTTGCCTTTGTTAGGTACAGTGTCTTGCATAGTTATTATTACCAATTGAATTTTTTATTCATATAATATCACTAAAAAATAAAACAGTGAATAACTGGGAAGTGGAAAAATCTTAAGGGCTGATTTCATTTTTTTTTTTAACAAATTAAGATTTGAAAGGTTGACATATATTTTTATTCAAACATTTTTGGTACCCAAAAAATAAAATCTGGTTTAAGCTGTTACTTTCAGAAAATGAACATTTCACATCTGTCTTAACACACTATCCTCAGAGAGTAAGACTGTGATGGCAGCACCAAGCAGTGAGCAAGGTTATCTTCAACAGGAAAAGGGAAGGTGGTCAGAGTTAATGAAAAGATAGATGGAGCTAAAAACCAAGTAACTAGAAAAAAATCTGTTACAAGCTGCAAAAGACTTGGGTTGCAGGTTTGCCTTCCATCAATAACTCTGCTCAATCCTTCAAAAATTCATATCCTCAGCAGCAAGCAGAGAATTTCTGCTCTGTATATACATGAAAGAAAGAGAAAACTTGTTTGGGACCCAGCTGGCAGATAACTAATATTTCACTATCTGTCTGGTCTGCATACTCCGTCTATTGCGAACCCTGACAATGCCAAAATGGTCTGCACTGCCTGGGTCAGATAAATAACCCTATTTATTTGAACTGTAAGAGGAGAAAAATCTCAGTGTATTTACAAAGTAAATTAACACAGAAAAAGTTTTAAATACCTCAGTTAACTTCCACTTCACAATTAGTCATCACCCATCACCCTCAAAATATATCAAAGTTTGCGCGTTATACAAAGAAATGAAAAATAACTAAAGTAAGACACTGTTTCTCCTCTTGAGGCTTAATTTTATAACAAGGTAAAGGGAGTTAAGGCACTAAAGGGAAACAAGCTGACTTGTTTTGCCAGGTTGGAAAACATAGTCATTGCCATGCCACAAATAAAATTTTTGAGTATTAATAATAAATGCAACATTTCACTAAAATATGTTAAAATGAATAAGTGAAAAATAAAGACACACTTTCACAGTTACTATAACATGGTTGCCTCAGCTTCAGTATGTTTTGTTTTTTTCTCGCGCTCTTTCTTCTTCCAATTTCTGCCTGCCTTGACTTGCTACTGGGAAAATAGCCTGTTTGTGACGATGCAGTGGTGCTACAACACAGACTGCAGCACTGGTTTCCAGGCTACCTTTGTTCTGCTGCTTGCTCCCATTTGCTGGCTGAGGCACTGAGCTTAATGCGGCGAGGCACATCGAACTGCAATCGCCCTAACTAATAAATCTAGGTCTTGATGCTGCTGAAGTGCTGAAAGCCAGAAAAATAATCCTAAAAAAATCAAAAATCAGAGAGATTTCTAACTCTTGGCTCAATGAACCAAGCAAAAGGGTGTTTGAGCACATGTGACAGCATTACTTGAATTTAGCAGTATGACATTTAGAAAGATGCAACCTCCTGGGGTGTAAGCCCTCAAGCAGTTAATGCATGGATACACTGCTGGAGATTTTCTCAATAAATGAGTGATGTAAGAATTTGAAAACCAGCAGCCCCACATTCAGATTAGTCAGCTAAGGTTTGAGAATGCATTAAATAGGGGAAGGCATGTCCACCAGATTATTGTTTATGGGGATTTCTCAGGTTTCTTATGTGTCTCCTTACCTTTTGGCTAAATTAGCCTGAACTACTAATTCGCTCCAGTCACTGCCTAATGATAAGCCCGTCTGTTCAATAGAGTATTGATTTCAGAGCCTCAGCTGAGACATATTCAACCTCCGTTTCCTCTGTATTGATACTTCGTATGGTAACATCTGCAATGTTAAAGAAGGTGTGTGGAGGTAGAGGTAGGTTGTAGTTAAAAATGCTGATGAATGTATAGATAAATGCAAAGAAAAAAACAGTTAAGTTCACATACTGAAAACTGGCCATTTCAAGCTACAGGAAGTATTAACTTTTCCAAAGAAAGTTCAGTTCAACCAAAAAAGTAAATAGTTTTTATAGTGCTATATTCTCATCTTCAAATGTGCTAGCGGGGTATTTTCAAAGTAGAATTATATGTAAAATATTTACAAATTACTCCCCTCCATAACACTGAGTATAAATACGGAGGTCAAATGCTTGGCAGGTAGGATTCTTACTTGTTTTCTTGTTTTTTTACATATCGGTTGCATATCGGTGTAGCTGTTGTCAGCTACAGGAAAATAAAAAAAGAGATAAAAGAAGCTGTTGGAGGTGAATGCCTAGATTTAAATAGAATTGTATTTGAATTTTTTTATGTCAGCAATGGGAATGTCCCAATTTCACAGCCAGCAAAATGTACTGTTCCAACTGTTTGCTTTGCAAAGTCTTTGTATTTACATGCCATAGGAAGTACTTTAATGTAATGGCTGCAGTTTCTCCAGCTGTAAAAACACAAACTACTTTGGTGCTGCTTCTTTACAAGCTGTTGCCTCCCACTGCTTGTCACATGGATGACAGAAGGAAGCTACAACTATATCCGCAACTCCGTGAAAAACTAGAATGTAGTTAAATTAGCTAAAAAACATAGTTAGACAAGGTGTGAAAACTAAAACAGCTCTATCTGTGTCTCTGATTGATTTCTAATAGATTTAACAGTACAGATCTAATCTGTAAAATGTATTTGGTTAAGTTAAATTTGAGTTTATATTCATGCCATTTACGATTCTGCTCACATGGTTGATTCTTGTTGATTTCAAACAAAGTGTTTTCCCTTGTGATTGGCTTATAGCCTTTGTTTTGCATGTAAAAGCTTCCCTTTATGATATTTATGCAGTTAACCAGGGTCATCACATTGTTCTGGCATCCACCCTCTAATAATCCATCCCTAACTTAGGTCAATGTGAGTCCCTTATGTCGAAATTGTATATATCTTCACATTTTCAGCCTCTGAGTTTTTGCATTTGGGTCCTCACAACTAACTAGCATAGATAAATGTTTTGCTTAGTAAAAATTAGCAAAATGTAAATTAGGTTGTTTTTATAGTAAATTTGTATTTGAGATTGTTTATTTTGTGGGGAATGGCGGCCTATTGGTTAGGGCATAAAGCTCGGAATCCTAAGATTGTGAGTTTGAAACCCACTCCCACAGACTGCCACTGTGGCTCTCTGGGCAAGACCCTTAACCCTGATTGCTCCCTGGGCTCACCACGATGGCAGCCCACTGCTCCCCAAGGGGATGGGTTAAATGCAATGGTAAGTTTTTCCAATGTGAGATCAATAAAGTTAAGTTATTATTACAAATATTATACATGATTATCAATATGCTAGCATTTTACAGAACTTGGAGACATTGTTGATTATTGGTTTAAATAACTGAATAAAACATTTAAATCCTCATTTCCATAAGTATCCACTTATTTTCCAAGTTTTTTTTATTGCTTTACAAAGATTTTAGTCCTTTCTTTAAACAGAGGAACTCTTTAATGAAACCAGGAGAACAACAGTCCCCTGTGGGAAAAGATCTCTATTTCTGATGTCTTCCTTTGTCTCTGAATGTGTTCATTAAGCAGTGTGGATTTAAAAAGATCCTTAACATCATCAGCCATGAAGCATTAAAGTGAGAACAGGAAAAAGTGAAATAGGATAATGCCGTGAGCCCTTTTTGACCACATCACTTGTGATCATTTTCTGTTTCATTATAGAAATGATTGGGCCAGCTGTTCTAATTGCATTTTATTACAGTTCAAAGAGCCCCTTTGATTAGAAGAATATAGCCTGAAAAGGGATAGTTTATCCCATGTAGTGGGATGTGCATCATTAGGTGTTAAACTAATGCTAATCCAGTATTGGAGCAGCATTGGTTGGAAGATTTTATCATCCTGAGAAGTCAATACAAAACCATATAAAGCCATATATCACAGAGTATACACTAAAATCCATAAGAGAGCATCAATCTGCATGGAGAAGAAGTTCATACGTGTGATAAACTACGCTTTCAAAATATTTGTTAGTATTTAGCGTTGAAATGTGGTGCAGAAACCACAAGGAATCAATAAGGGAAGGAACAGATAAGTAAATTGTGTGTTGTCATCAATCTGATGTGACATGCATGCAAAAGGGATGAGAGGATAATGGTATGATTGGTGAACATACCCATCGATCCAGGCCGCGTGCCTATCATGCACAGGATGAAGATTATACACAGAAAACAGAGGATAAACAGCGAAGAATTACACATCTGTCACTGCAGCGCTAAACTTAAAAAAGAAGCCAACTAATGCATTGTCAGTGGCTCAGAGTCATTTAATGAACAACCTCTTATTGCATCAAAATGATAGTGATGAAATGTAGATTTCGTCTCCAGCTCTGCTACAAAATTACAGAATGAAATTGAGATCAAGACCCCTTGTGTTAGATGATCAATTGGTCAAAAGGAGGAGCATTCAGGTGCTGCAGACAATGCTGGCATCCCCTTCATCCTCATCATTATTCATAGTAGCCTGAACTCTCCACAATCAAAGTGCCCAGACCAATAAAAAAAGCCAATTTGGCTTTTTAATTTCCTCCCAGTGACATGACAAGCTTAGGATCTTGAACTTGACTATCTGTAATTGTAGAGTAGGACATCCATAACATAGGCTATAAGGGAGATACTCTGCTACTTTCACTGTATATGATAAATATCCAATATCTTAAATAGAATAAAGTGAAAACACCAAGTTTAACTGTTTGTCTATGAACTATTTTTCTTTACAGGAGCTATTATGCGACTGTTTATTATATTTTGCTCCTTGCATTTTCACAAGGCATATGTGTGAAATATAGAACAGCATACTTTCACATCAGCTTAAGCATCAAGATAAAGATAGGCAATGGCAGTAACTGGGCTTGGACGCTAAGCCTATATTAGATAAATCGTATGGCAAAATTTGTTAATTAGCCCTGCTATTATATGAACTCTTGGGGTTTTTTTTGTTATTATATCAGTATGTATCATTAATACTATTTATATTTCTTATTTATAAAATTTTTACATCACTAAGGTGGAAGAAGTAAGTCCGGGAGCTTTTTCTAACTCCCATTGCAATCCCCTTCATAATATTTTCTGAATTTAAATGTGAAAAATGTGTTAAACCTAAATCATGAAGATTAACTTAATCACCTCTTTTAAAATATTACAACATGATAAAAATAATAAAAATATAATCTTACCCCAATATTTTGCTCAGCACTGCTGGTCACATAGTAAGTAGGAAAATTCCCACTTTTTTTGTCTGTTTTGAAATAACTCAAGTTATCAAAAAAGAGGGGCTGTGCATATATAAAACTAAATGATGATCACATATCACTTATATGAATGAGTTTTATTATGTAATGTATTTATTCTTTATTTGTTCTTATGTAAAGTACTTTGGTTACCCTTGGGCTTTTTAAATGTACTTTATAAATAAAGTAGATCGATCGATTGATTGATTGATTAATTGATTGATTGATTGATTGGAACTTCAATTTTAAACCTTTTTTTAAGCTTTAATGTTTCTCTAAACTTTGATATTAGTAGGCCAGATAACCAGCCTAATGAACAAGCTTGTAAAAGCTAGCCCACTGTGACTCTTTAAAGAGCAGAATATACGCTAATTCTGTCAGAATAAATTAATCACAATACATGTTTAAAGTATTATTTTTTTATATATATATATATAATGCTATCTAGAATAAAACCTCTTTAAAACCGACTCCTGCAGCAATTCACCTTTTTTAATTCTTTGTTTTTATTATAGTTATTATTATTATTATTATTATTATTATTATTATTATTATTATTATTATTATTATTATTATTATTATTATTATTATTATTATTATTATTATTATTATTATCATTATTATTATTATTATTATTATTATTATTATTATTATTATTATTATTATGTGTAAGTAGTAGTAGTAGTAGCAAGAATATTTCCAAAGCAATTTATAAAAATAAAAAAAACAAGGACATAATAACTTAGATGTAAATACAAGTACTTATCAATTAAACTTTTGTTTTGACACATCTGCTTCTTACCTTCTGGACTCTGTAGCAGGTACTCTTAAAATTATTGGGTCTAATATAAACATATTTTCCGTCTAAATAAAAAAAAAGTTGACTTTTCTTTTTAGTAAATTAAACAGTTAAAGAACACACTGAAATATTTGTATTTCGTAATTTTTTATCAAAGTTTAGAGAAACATTGAACTTTAAAAAAAAAATTAACTTCCAAACTTTTCCTGTGAAGTTAGTGCAACATTAAAAGAAGGCAAGAAAATGTATGACTGCTTTTTCAGCTCATCTGAACAGCTCACTGAGAGGCCACAGCCAAAAATACATTCTATATGTATCTTTAAGCTTTCCAGTGATAGACTTAAGCAACCTGAATATCTCTTTTAAGACCAGAAAAAAAGAGAAAATGTTCCTGATGTGTTCACTGTAGGGATGGTTAATGGTTAGACTAATGGTGTCAGTGTGTGCACCTCAGCACTCACCCCTTCACTGTTCTGTCCACTTTTAGCAAGCATTTCCTGTAGAGCTCGTACCGACAGAGACTGCTGCAGCACAAAGGTACAGATGCACAGGTCTGGAGGCACATACTGCAACAACAACCATTACAAGGGTTAAACATGGCAATGGTTTTATGATATTAATAATGTCTTTCTTTAGGCAATAGTTACAGCTTGAATGATTGCTAGAACCCAATGATGAAAAACCATTATTCATGAATATTTAGTCATAGACCACCATATTTCTTGTCCTGGAGGGATATTACCTGAAGGGTAGAATGAAAAAAAAAAAAAAAAAACAAGGGTATTCTAATCATTTTTTCATGACTGCAAAATGTTTTAAATATGAGACAGAAAAATATCAAGGTGTCAGAAAACTATATTATTCTTATAATCAGAAAAACACTAAGAAGAAAAAAGTACAGAAACATGTGGTGTCTTGTTAAAAAAGTCATGTTTTGATTGCTTTACTAGCTTTTCCTTTTTCTTGTATGTTTAAGCTACAAAGATAACATTACTTCATGGTTTACTTGGATAATATGATTAGCTTCTTATTTAAAAAAAATCCCTGCCTACTGTTGCCCTTTACTTGTTTCAAGCAGAGTTTATCCTAAACTGGTAGGTGACATTAAAAAGAACTTTAAAGACCCTAACATTTACTGCTCTTTTGGTAACTCCGTGTATCTAGTAATTCTTAGAAAAGGCACAATCAAAAGAAAAATTTAAAGCCGTAAAATGCACCAAATGGAAGATCTAATTTAATGACAGAATGAGGAAGCTGTTGTGGGGACACTGGCTGCAAGATAAATGGTGCCAACCTGAAAACTCTGCCTGCAGTTCTGAACTCCTTTTTAAGTAGATCATGCAGGTCAATCTAACCTCATTTTATGCTAACATCATGGTGTGCATGTTTAAAGTTACTTGTTCAAGTACTTGTTGAGATGTCAACAAAACTGATACAGATGTTTAAATTTAGTGTTTTAAGGCACATAATCTTCATTTCTCAGTGTGACATTAAAGGAGACTAAAACCTTCCTGATTTATTTTAGTTACGATTATCTGAATTATTTCCATTTTCTAAATGTAGAAATATAAAGAAGCAGATTTTTTTTTTTTTGATTGCTTGTAGAGTTATAGTTTTTTTTTTTTTTTGTCATAGTTTTATTTATAGTTTTTTTATTCACAACATATCCTTAATATTTGGTAAAATGATAGATTAATCTGTATGATTTTGATTCTTTATATGAAAGGTACATTTGGTAATAAAACTGATTCATCTCTTGGTTAGAAAACTTGTCTCCTTCCTTATGATGCAGTGATAGTTGCATATTCTTGTTCTGTTTATGCTTGCAAATTAATTTAAACAGATCAAATGAACTTTCCACCACCTGTAAATTTCATCAAAATATAAACCCTGCAGAGATAAAGCAAGCCGTTTCCCAAAAAGAAGCACCAAGAGACAGGTTTCCATTTCCAGAAGCATTTTCACTTTAGTGACAAATTATTTTTAGCTATAAATCTAATAACTCAGGCAAACCTGAATCTGCTTCATAGTGTTCGGTCTTTAGAACATTACAAAATGTGCATGATTCAAAGACAAGTAATTATTGCAATGTACTGTAGTACAGTTTGTAGCACAGCTGCCTAGCAGCTAGAACGTTCTGGGTTCAATACCCAGCCTGGGGTCTTTTTGCATGGAGTTTGCATGTTCTCCCTGTGCATGTGTGGATCATCTCTGGTTACTCCGGCTTCCTCAAACAGTTCAGGAAACATTACTATCAAGTTGATTGTGATCTCTAAATTGCCAATAGGTATGTGTGTGGGTGTGTGTGTGCCTAGTGATGTGTCTCTGTGTTGCCCTGCGATGGACTGGCGACCTGTCCTGACGTCTATCTATGATGGGTAAAGAAAGAATTGGATCAAGCAAAGACTTTTAGAAGGAGTTTTGAAAGGATGCTGAAATAGTTGATTGATTAGTAGAGCATGTATCATAATTGAGGAATAATCATTTGTAGGTACTCATTGCCAAACTGGGTACAGAACATAGTATTACTGGTGTAATGGTAAATGGACCTTCCTCTAGAAATCATAATATTGAGTCCCTGACATGCAAGAGCTGCTGGTTGTAAATCATGTTCAAGCAGCTGTTCACAGACCGATTTATACTGCTATTTATTTTGTACACTCTTTAAATCAACCAGGTCCTGTGCTCCATTAGCAGACTAGTTTACCCAAGAGAAGCAGTCATCCTATTCAATCCGTAGACATCTAAAGGGCCCTCTTGGGCTGATTTTTTTCAAACCACTGTAATTGCACCCAAAAATTGGGTGCTGCCTTTCATAAAAAACAGCACGTAATGAAGACAAAGTGCTTCAAAGAGAGAATATCCATCATGCTTGTCAAATTTAATTACCATCCAATATGGTAAAACTGCCTCAGTGACACACATGCAGTTTGGAAGACCTGAAGGAGAGAACACACTATACCAGTTCATGGATCTTTGCTGTAATGCATATTGAAATTAGAATATTTAGCTTTCAGCATTACTTTCTTTTCCATCTCTCTTGTGTTTTTAATGCGGCTATCTTTGTAATGATCTTGGTTGTGTTGGTTTTTCTCTAAGTTTTCAGTTTCAAGTTCATCCAGGTTTTTCCTTGTTTTCTAGCTTTATTGGTGTGTTGTAGATTCATTTAAGTTTCTTAGGTTTTTCTTTGTCTGTCCTCGGTTGCCCCCTTGTGTTTTCTTTTCCCTTGGCTTCCTCATCAGCTCTGGTCACACCTGCTCCTTATCAGCTCATTAGTCCTACCTTTGTTCAGTCAGCCATAAATACACTCCCTCTGCAGTCCCTCTTTGCTGGTTCCTCGTCTTACATTTTCTCACCCTGGCTCCTTGATGGTTTTACCCCTGATGTCTCCATGGTTCTGGTTTGTGTTTGATTTTTATGTCGGATTTTTGGATACCTGTTTTTGTTTAACATTTTTAAGTTGGATTTTTGGATTTCTGCTTTTGCTGCCTGATCTTTCATTAAAACTTTTAAGAACTCACCTCTGCCTGTCAGCCTCAGAATTTAGGTCCTCATACAAACCTCCAAACAAATCGTGACAATCTCAAACTTTTTTTTTTATTCTGATCTCATACTGTTAAACAATTAAATTGCAATTTGACAATGAGGGAATGTGTTCTCTACAGCAATACAGTGCAGCATTAACAGCAGATGAGAAGTACCGTAGTAGGGTTGTGATGATATAAAAGGCAAGAGCAAGGATCGCTATTGAAATATTTCTAACTAAAATGAGGAAGCCTTGACTGTGGGTGTGCTCCATTATATGGATTCTGTACTAATAAAACATGACAAAACAATTGGATTTGACTAATTATGATGTGCAAATGCAATTTCAACCACAATAAAACAATAGGGAATTACTGGCAGTGCTGGTTTGGAACAATTCTGCAAACACATCCAGTGGTGTATTTTCAGGGTATTTTATCATCTTATAGCAGCCCCAGAGATGTAATGCTTTTGCTGAACCTTTTCAGGAGAAGCTCATCAGTGAGACTGTGGTTGATTCAAGCTGCTGCTTTCTGTTTGTCTGTTGTTTTGTTTTAAGTTTTTTTGTTCTTTTTTTTTCTATGAGGAAGCATTAAATTCACATATCTAAATGAATGGATCCTTTCATATGATCCACATCTCTGCAGCCTGTTATATGTGGCAATTCTTGAGTCTATAAGGGAATGTGTATATATCCATAGGGTTTATTATGTAAGTGCAATGAAAACAGATTTAATCAAATTAAGTGCATGATCTTGAGCAGAGCTGTCTCGCTTTAGAGCCATGCATCTGGGTTCTACAGATTTATTTTTTTTCTTTTACTTTCAAATGGCACAAACACTGGAGTCTGCCTACCTTTGCCTCCGATGTGGGCTCCAGGTAACATAGGCGATTGCCCAGCCCTTCAGCAGCCAGGCAAAACTTACGATTCTCCTTCTGGATGCAGGCCACGCACTGGAGAACCACTTCATCATCCTGTCAAGACAAAACAGGTTTCATTCTGTACCTCTGTGGAATCAATATGTTTGTTTGGGAGCATGCAAGTGTCACGCTCTGAGAGAAACCGCATTCACCAAAATACATGCCAATTCCAGCTCATTAATCAGGGGAGATTCTTATACACTGTTCATGTGTGAGTAAAGAGGTTTTTCCCAACAGAGTGGAAAAAAAGAAAACAGCAAGGGACTGAAGCCAAAAGAGACCTCTAAAAATACTCTAAACGAATAATGGTTCACTAGAACCTAAACTATATTGCATTTATTCCAGAGCAAAGAAAACAAATTAGATAATTACAAAAACATGTTTCCACAGAATGTAATAACCACACTAAGTTGTTCATATTTTTATGAAGAAAAATGTTGCAATTAATTTACTTCAAATTAAGTCAAAGGTTGCAAACATTAACTCCTAGTTTTTTGCACAGCCTTTTCCTTTATCAGGATTTCTACACCAAACCATTCTACTTGTATGGTATAGAGGCAGCGTGATAATTCAGGTTAGAATCCAAAAGGGAGCCAATATGAAATGATCCACATAAACAAATCCTAGAAATAAATGATCAATCAGAACCCAATTAATGAATTTGATGAACTCGATAGCATAAATATTTTACACACCAGAACAAGACTCCATATATTAAGCAAATTATCATAATTATTGGCAGATTAAAACCTATTAAATCACATACAGGAACAAAAAAGTATTACAAGATGTAATTGATTTGTAAAGCTGATTTCATTTCCTAAATAAAATCTTCAGCTTAGAAGAACATGGTTGGAAACAAGGTCCCAACAAGAAAGCTTTCTGGTGAAACAAGTGAAGCATTGAACTAACACCTTTAGGGAGACAATATAGCACAAACAAAATTAAAGGTTCTGGCAGATGGAGTGACCGTGATAACGGGTTTATCTAGGAGGAAAATCAATTCAGTGAATGAACATTAACAGTATTATTAGCCCCCTAATTTACAAAAAAAAAAAAGAGTAAAAGATGAAAAACGTGAATTAGTCATTTACAGATAGCAGAAAGAGTTCAATTGTTTTTATTTTGTCATGCTCATAATTGTCCTATTGTTTAAATTAGAAGATTTTCGATTTCTTACAACTATGTTTACTTAGTTAATACTATAGCTAAAACACAAGCAATTAGTTACAGAATATATCTATTCTATGCCTCTTATAATTACTTTTCCATTACACAAATCAATCTGTAGTTAGAGCAGGTTTGGTAAAATTAACAGAAGAATAAAAAAAACCTTAAAGACTGGCTCAGAGTGGTTTAAATCACATCTTCAAAAATCATTAAATATTTTTTTATGAGTGAAAATAGAGCTTTTATTTAAAAAGTAGTATGCTTATATCAGGAAGCTTAGTTCTTCATAAAAGACTATTTTTACCATACAAGTATAATTTGCTATATTGACGTCCTGAGGGATATAGAACTGTTTTATACATGCTTTTATTGGCCATGTCCTACTAAATATCAAAGCCTGTTAATTAGCTTTTCCTCTAGTAGCTGACAGCAGCTTAATTATTGAAATCTAAACATAAAGTAAATCATTATCAAGTCTTAATAGTTCAAAGATTTGGATTCAGATTTAAAATTTGATTTATAAGAATTGTGCCAAAACCTACTTGATGGCTAAAAAAAAGCATATGATTCAAGTGCAGAATTTTTAAAATGACATCAATAGTAATAAAGTCAGCACTCGTAGAGCAGCATTTTTATATTTGAGTTTATGTCATTCATTTGTTCATTTAAGTAAAAGTTGACTGTTTTGTTATCATTACACTGAAAACTGTCGAATAACTCATGAATGACTTTCATGAGTTTTAGAAGCACTGTCACTTGCACTGTGTGATTCTCCAACATTATTTGTTATCGGTCAGTCAAATATATGGAACAATAAAATGATACATTTATAACAATTTACTAAAACTTTGAGTTGGCTTTCTTAAATCTGAAAACAAGCATCTGATGCCACTTCTTTCTAAAAGACTTATGTTTTAAACACTGGCCTTTTAAATGCTGAATTGAATATAGTTACGCTTTAGTACAGCAAAGCAAGCAGAAATTTGCTGATATCGGCTGCTGTGGGACATGGGGGCGGGTGCAGGTTTGTGTTTGTGTGTGTGTAAGTGGGGGGGGGGGGGGGGTGGGGGGGGGGGGGGGGGGGGGGGGGTTCTTCTGCACAATTGCCAGCACCATTATTTTAATGCAAGGGAATTGTGCTTAGAGCAGTGTGCAGCTAAAGTAGTGGTAGTAACAGCAGAGGAAATGGAGCACCCCTTTACAGGGAACCATTGCAGCATGACATGAAGTGTTTGCAGTACATATACACATAGGAAAGAGTAGCAATAGAGAGCCTAAGAAGTCCATGCCTGCAGAAGCACATTTTAAAAAATCACTGTGGTTAGCCTCAGATTCATAACAACCATGTGAACTATGTACTGCATTGTGCACATGTAGGCCTCAGGTGAGGTTATGTATGGAACTTAGGACTAGATATATTTACCTTCAAAACTCTGTGCAACTATTGTATTAGAATCTTTAGAAGAAAAAGGGATCTTTCAATTGGTAAAAGTTTAAAGTAAAGTAAATAACTGGAAATGATTAAGTAAAATAGTTATATCAATAAGTCTTGAGTTCTACCTATTTGTTCTATATAATTTTGGCAGAATCTCTTAAATTAGTGATAAATTATGCTCTATCACATCACATTAATGTTATTGATGCTGTCTGCCATTAACCGATCCAGCTGCCTTTACTGCATTCTTATATAAAATAATAATCCTTTGTATTCAAAATAATTAATAATAATTCAATGACCAACTCTTCAGTTAAAATGTGGAAATTCACAAGATCACAAAAGAAATCAAGAATCAATTGTAAAAATATTAAAATATAACATTAGAAATTATTTATTAGTCTAAAAAAGCGATACAAAAAATTTACATCTGATCTGAAAGCTCCTTTTCAAAAAATAATAAATAATTAACGAGGCAAAAACTATGCAAAATCCAAAAGATACAACTGCTAGATCCTATGGAGGTTTAATCATTAGATAAAAAAAAAAAAAAAAAAAAAAAAAAAAAAACGAATACAACTGAGAAGTCTTTGAAATATTGATGTCATTGTTGATACTTTTGGAAATGTATACATCACATTAGAAATGCTGGAACCTCTGCATCTGCCACAAATTTTAGCTGCTCAACTGCTGGCAAACCAGAAACATAGCTTTCATACTTTAATTTAATTTAATTTGCTTTTGCTACATGTTAATGTTAGAGTTAGGTTTAAGAATCTGTTATTGACTTTTAAAACCATCTATGGTCTTAATTTACTTAGATTTGCTTCTAGCTAGCATACATAGATCTATCTGCAAGCAGCAATTCTCTCTCCCCATCTTTGTGGCAATCTTACTTTAAGCTTAGATATCAGTGGTCGCATGTTAAGTGCTGTCCGAATAGTGCTGGCATTAAGAAAGAAGTTTGGGAAAGGAAGCAGGATTACCATCAATCCTTTGAGTAACAGTACATATAAGCACAGCTAACCTCCCAGTTTAATAAGAATATATGATTGTAAAAATGATTGCAACAAATGTTACAAATGTTTCCTAACTTATAGTGCAAATGTAATTATTTACCCAGCCCTGTTTTAAATGTAAGGTTTTCATCTAAAACTTTTTTCCTGTACTTAGTCTTTTTTGTCATTGCAATAGTACATTATAATACATTTCATTTTCTGCATTTAGCTCACCCCTTCTGTAAGCTGTTTGCAACTTACAGAATGTACATGCACTGCTCTGATCTCATAAGTCTACCACTTGCCATAAATATGCTCTCCTCATCTTGTACAAAAACAAAAAAACGAATAAAATTTCAGCAAAGATCTTTGGAAGACTTTCTATAGAACTATTGATTAAGACTGTGATAGATTAAGTTTATAGTTGCAGTTTTTCATTATACTAAACATTTTTCTGTATATGCTGCAAGGGGGATATGCATGAGTGAACACTGACCACACAAATTGATAGTGTCGTTCATGGCTGTTATGGGAAAGGCTTGGGATTATGCTAACTGGCACAAATCAATATAAAAATGTTATTCAACTCAGATGTAGATTGAAATTAATAGCCCTTTATAGCAACCCAACACTTGGCTCGGGTTGAACATACCATTAGTCTCATTGTTGAGAGAGAAAGCACAGGGTAGATTCAGCCAACAATAGGGCTGTATTGATCTAGGCATTGCATGGCTGCCTGTCTGAGCACCAAGCAGCTCACAGACAACAGAATCATCTCTCTAATCAGAAAAGGCAACTCAAATGCCTTTGCTTCTGTCTCATTCTGCCTACATTTAAGCCTTTCACACCAATTCCCTGTTGTGTTTGACTTACATACAGCTGGGAATCAGAGGCCTCACCCCCATCAATCATTCATATACAGGGACATTGGCTTGTATAAATAACAATCCTCTCATTATTTTGGAATAGGTCAATGTATATCAGTGAAAATATTTAACAAATATTCAGCCTAAATATCTCTGCTTTGTGTCTTAAGAAAACTAAAGGTCAAGCCTCAACATAGTGATGTAAAGTGCAGAAAAGAGAGAAATTGTCTCAATAAAGAAACCTTTTAGAAAATTATAATACCCTTTTACCCATTTTCCTAATACTTTTTTTCCCCAAAACTAAATACTGTAAGGCCCTCCCTTAGAGATAGGGTAAGGAGCTTGGTCATACCACTGAGAGGAATCAACTGAGGTGGCTTGCATACTTTGTTTCAGATACCCTTGGACGCCTCCCTTGGTCTTCCAGGTATGTCCCAGTAGGAGGCCTACGAATGAACCCAGAACCCACGCTGTAGGGACTATGTCTCTCAGCTGGTCTGGAAGCACGTCAGGTTTCTCTAAGAGGAGCTTGAGGAGGTGTCTGAGGAGAGGTAAGTCTCGGCTGGGGCTACTGCCCCTACGGCT